TCAAATTCTTATTTTCTTTCTATAATTTCGCTCTTTATGCACCGAAATTGCCTTTTATGAAATTTATAAAGTTTTGTATGATGAGATAAAACAAATCGGAACTTAATAGTAAGTTTCTGAAAAACGAGTTTTTCTTCAAAGCTCATTTCAAACGTGGGTTTTACTGAGGCAAATGAAATCAAGCCCAGAAAAGAACAGGAGACAAGATTGCATTAATATAAACTGCACGTTCAGTTGTTGGCAAAGGATTCAAGAAAACTTTGGAGACCACGATTAGCCGTACAAAGATGAAGTATAGAAACAAAACAATTGAAAAACTGCCAATTTTCATTGATATGCATAGCTACTGAACAGATGAGTGCTATTAGAAATACAAAAAAGGAGAGACTTTAGATTTGCTTGTGCCGAAACATGTAGCAAATTTGTTATAGCGGGGCCTTCATTCGAATGGCCTAAAGGCCGGCATAGCTCACGCGATTTCAGTCGTGACGCGATTTGGCAATATTCCAACTGTCCATAACTCACTGTAAGCACATTTTAAGTGTACAGAAGATAGGACAACCCGCGTAAGTTATACACACTGTGCAGATTGCTAGTGTTGGATTTGAAGATTTCTAGCACGTGAATGGTGCTTTATGCCGTTTTTAGACCTCTGAGGATGGCGAATGCGCCGAAACGTTAGGCCATTCGAATAAAGATCCCACCATAACAAACCTGTTCAACACAAGCAAACTTGAAGATTTTATACACTGCCTAGGTTTAAAGAAATTGGAGATTCAAGTTATTAGGATTGAGACTGCTCTTCTAACCATCAACACAAGACTACGCTTACAGCCGTCTCTGTTAATACTTGCACAAACAAGAAGCTCAGTGGCTAATCGAGTAAACACAGGAATAAACTTGTTGCTGGTTGTTGTGCTCTTGTTCGCGTATGCTTTGTCAACAAATTACATTTACAGCCCATTTCAATCGTTATGTCTCTTTTCTACTGGACATACGCCTCGTTACAGCGACTTTGCACAACCTTTTTCTCTGTACACAAGACTATCGCACGCGTATGCATGTGCAAAACTTCCCTCACGAAAAGGAATAAAACTGGATAAGAAATGCATCTTCTGCGATTGGACCAAATTCATCCTGATCTTGTTTGTAATAACAATAATGCCTCTAGCCTACACCTTCATGAATGCGAGTAAAGTTTCACGGCTCTATTCCACTTAATACAACCCAATAATTTGAAAATCACGATTTCGCTGAAAACTCGCTCAGAGGGGTTGTTGGACCTGCTGATCACGAAAATGAATTCATTTTGCATGGTGGGGCCTTTTTAAGGGGTTACGATAGGCATACGATATGGGGTCAAAATTTTAGAATTCGCTAAAACTTTGCGTATGAAGGTTATTCGACATGCTGATCACAAATATCACACTTTTCCGCAGGAAAGCGTCTCCCTGTATGGTAACGGTAGGTGCACGGTAGGTGGTCAAAATCTAGATTTGGCTGAAATTTGGTCTGGAGGGATTATTTAGCACGCTGAACATGGATCTTATATATAAAGCTGAATGTCTGTTTGTATGTATGTATGTCTGTCTGTCTGTCTGTCTGTCTGTATGTCTGTACGTATGTTCCGAATAGAAAATTCCATTTCTGAACCGATCCGGACCAAACTTGGCACACATACACTTCGGGCCCCGGCGGGTGTCATAGGCTACTTTTCGTCATCGATCGATATCGATTTTATCGATTTTTATCGATTTTTTTGCAAAGTTCACCTACGGGGCTGGGAGTTGGCACAGGGGGGTAATCGAGCATGGGGATTCCGAATACAATATTGGTTTTCAGGATTATCGATTACTTTCATCGATTTTATCGATTTTTTTGCAAAGTTTGAGCTACGGGGCTGGGAGTTGGCACAGGGGGGTAATCGAGTGGGAATTCCGAATACAACATTGGTTTTCAGGATTATCGCAAAGTTTGAGCTAGGGGGCTGGGAGTTGGCACAGGGGGGTAATCGAGCATGCTGATCACCCCCCTTGGGGCATGCTGATCACCCCCCTTCCCAGCCCCCTAGCTCAAATTTTCAAAAAATCGATAAAATCGATAAAAGTAATAGACGATCTTGAAAACTAATATTGTATTCGTAATCTGCATGCTCGATTACCCCCCTGTGCAAACTCCCAGCCCCGCAGGTCAAAGTTTACAAAAAAAATCGATAAAATCGATAAAAGTATGGACGATCCTGAAAACTAATATTGTGTTCGTAATCAGCATGCTCGATTACCCCCCTGTGCAAAATCCCAGCCTCGCATGTCAAAATTTACAAAAAATCGATAAAATCAATAAAAGTAATCGATAATTCTGAAAACTAATATTGTATTCGGAATCCCCATGCTCACTCCCCCCCCCCTGTGCCAACTCCTAGCCCTGTAGGTGAACTCTGCAAAAAAATCGATAAAAATCGGTAAAATCGACATCGATCGATAACGAAAAGTGGACTGTGACACCCGCCGGGGCCCGAAGTGTATGTGTGCCAAGTTTGGTCCGGATACGGCGGAGCCGGGTAAGCCAGCTAGTATTATATAAACTTTGTACGGAAGCGTAATTTCCTCGGGCTACAATGGGTATACGGTAGTAGGTGAAAATTCCGAACAAACGTTGCCTAGAGGGGTTTTCAAGCATGCTGATAACGAATACAGGCTTGCTTGTTACAACAACGCTTTATTGTAGAGTTATGGCAATTTGCAATCTAAAAATCCACGAGAATCTACAGGGTGTCCCAAAAAATGTGCACACTGTTTGATTGTAAATAACTCTTTTGTGGTGAAGTGTTTCGAGAAGCTTTAGGTACCATTTTGTAGAGCGAGGTTCAACTTAGATTTACAGTGTAGAAAGGATCGCCGATCTCTCATTCTTACTGTAGGATTACGGTAGAAACTTTAAAGAAGGTTTTGAGCCATGAAAGGCCATATCTTGTTCCAAAAAGAAACCAAAACAACCTGAAAACTCTCATACTGGGCTAACTAGAGTTGCTGATCCTAAATGTGAAGTTCGCAACTCTTGTAATGCTTCATTAAAAAATTATGCGAGATAAGCAGTAGCAGACGTTTTTTAAGTGTACCTAAAAAGTGCGGTTATACCGTTTAGAGAGCTTCTCAACCTTGTAAAAAGTTGGGTATTGAACTCAGGGTCTTTAAAAACCCTATTACACAAATTTCCACATTTTTTGAAAATTTTTGAAACGGCCGCTTTTTTTAACGGTGACAGCATATGTTTGAAGTTTCTACCGTACTCCTACAGTAAGAATGAGCGATCGGCGATTCGCTCTACACTGTAAATCTAAGTTGAACCTCGCTTTACAAAATGGTACCTAAAGCATCTCGAAACACTTCAGTACAAGAGAGTTATTTACAATCAAACAGTGTGCACATTTTTTTAGGACATAAGCGAAATGGGCGCGATATTCGTGATGAGAATATCAGATAACACCCCTGCACCAAGTTCCAGGCAGATCTACTGTTTTGATCCCTTATATACCTACCGTAACCATATATAGAGAGGTTTTCGTGCGGGAAAAGTGTGACCGCGCAAAGTTTTAGCGAATTCGAAATTTTGACCTCATACCGTATGCCTACCGTAAGCCCTCAAGAAGGCCCCACCATGCAAAATAAATATAATTTTCGTGATCAGGTCGAATAACCCCACTGAGCAAATTCTCAGCGAGATCCGTGATTTTCCATTTTTGGGTTGTATTAAATGGAATAGTACCCAGTTCACTATAACCTCATTAAATTTGCAGTCATCAAATTCCGATGTTGTGCAATCGCACTACGAATATCCAAAGAGTAAAGAGACTGTATTCAGAAGCAATTGCAATCCATATTGTATTTGGCTTTTTCGAAAGGTTGTTCTGTTTATAATGTATGCGTTCGTCAAATGAGCAAGAAGGAAGTTCTTAAGGTAACAACCACTAAAACATTGTGGTTATGTAGAGTTGTTTACATAAAAATCAGATTCAAAGTATTATCAAAAAATGAAAACTGAATAATAAACTGTGATAGCAGCAGAAACAGTCTAAAGTCGTGTCGCGATGCTTAATTATCCCTGTTTCTCAAGAACCGCGATTCAAAATTCCTGATTAAACGAAAGTTCCTTCACTTTTTCGAAAGCGAGGAGTACTCTGCGTTGATACCACTGCTTACGCTGTAGCACAAGAGTGGTTTCTAGATTTCATTACTGTCCTGTTTCGTCCATTCGTTTCGTTCTAAGGTTCACATTCACTTTATCTAATTACAGGTTCACGACCAGTCACATGAGAAAATATATATCTTGACTATAGTTCACTTTCAAGGTCTGGCGCTCAGAGCCACAAGAGCGCGACAAATGTGCAGTGCAGCTGATTATTGATTCTGACTCAGACGCGTTCAAAAATTACATCTATTTTCTCATTTCCTGTCACTTATTTTTCTCTGCTGTCATCACTGTTTTGGCCACAATCAGTCAAATATGGAATTGTTCAATAGAAAAGCTATACCTTTTTTGGCTAACAAACCCCTATATACTCTACATAGCATATTTGCAAATGGCATTTTACAAGGAACCATGATGCTTTGCCTCATCAAAAAGAAGTCCCTGGATAAACGCTAGACGCTAGACAGAAAAATATGCAACCTCATCACCACATTTTCCCCCCGTCTTCAGCATTGACAAAGCCTGCGCTAATTTCGAAGTGTACGCTGGAGTATTGTGGTATGTAAATGAATGCTCTGGCAATTCGTGACGTGCAGTCCGCTGAGCAATTTGGAATCTCCTCTGAAGTCTTTGCGAACTTTGCTCAAGTTTTGAGGAAGTCTAGCAATGGTCAGGCTTCCTGCGCTATTCCTCATGCTAGTACAAGTTGGAAATGTTTTTGTAGTCTGCCCTTGGCAGATCTTTGCCTTCCAGCGTGGAGTTCTTCAAATCGTTGCTTGGTTCATTTTCATAGTTAGAATTTCGTATACCGTTTTTTAGATCACAATGTCGGGCTAATTTCAACTTGCCCTCCCTTCCACAGTTCTGAACATGAACTGACGTCGCAACTGATCAACATCTTCGCTGCGTTAAAGAAACCATCTGGATATGGAAGAGGTGCTTGGTTTTGTCTTATATCGATGCCCAGTCTCAATTTACATTGCATGATACTTGTATCGATAGAAGCTGTTTATTTCCGATTAGACTCGAGGTTTATTAGTGGAAGTTCTTTCCTAGAAGGTGTTTGTTGTTTTTGTGATCGTTCGATCATCGCTCTATAAAGATAAGAGCTGGATATTATCGAAAAAGGTGTATTACCACTCGCGTTTCAGATCAGATTTAATGTGATTTTTTCATTACAAGCTTGCCTTCAGTGCTTTGATGGAAAGCTCGGTGCAGATGATGAGAGTGGCTGCGAACTTGTGCGACAGACATCGAAGCTTTTGGAGGAGCTCTTCCGAGCACATACCCGACACCCGGAATTCATTCGCGCGGTAATTTGGTGCATGAGAACACTAATCAGAAGAGGACCATTCAATGAAGGTAATCAACTCTTTGCAACGATTACATATCAGGCCGTAGTGTTGCTATCTTCTAGACAGTCAGAATGCTATCAAATCGGGTGTTACTGGCTTAGCAGAATTTTTTGCTACAAAATCTCTATGGATTCAGTCGCAGATAGTGAACGAGGTAAATATATGATTTATTTTTAGTTTTGCTTTCAATCTCCTGCCTTTCTAGTTACATAGATACAATCTACCAGAATTAACAGTTATGCTTGCTAATGCTTCTCGCTCTGCAAGAAGTGGAAGCTCTGTCCCGGTGCGTCTACTTCTGCAGGGCAGAACGGACATCGGTACTGAGACTGATAGTAAGCAGCTTTTTACTTTTATGTACAACATGTTGAAGTGTATATCTGTGTCCGTGATTTACAGAGCATTCGCAGCTCTTCTGAAGCCTCTTCCTTTTTTTTGTGAAGCAAAAACGTACGCTTTTTATAAGCATAAAGTTGCTTTTTCTAGAGTTTCTTCCGTCATACGCTATGGCATCAGGTGAAAATTCAGCTTTCAATCTGGGTCTAGCGACCGATGGGCCTGTTCGAGATGCGAGGAAAGTTCCGCTTGAGGGGGTTCGTTGCGTTCATTGACTTTTTTATTCTGTCGGATAGCTAAGTTTACTCTTGTGTTTGACTAGCAGAATCGTATGCGTATGCAAGTAATAGTTATGTAATCTTATGACTGTGCGAGATAATTTTTTTCAGGTCAAAAAAGTATCGATGTCGGCGGCGCATACTTTATTTCTCACGCACAAAGGAGAGGTATATGGATGTGGTGCAGGAGCAAACTTTGATGCAGGGGAAAAGAACGCCAAATTGATTGTGAGCCCAATTAGGGTTGTATTCCCTGCTGATGTGAGTTTTTCTTCTTTAACTTACTTCGCGAGCAGCATGTAAAATTAGATAGAGTTTGTGTACTATTCAGGCATTGCCCATTGTGGATATCGCTGCGGGTCCACATCATTCGTTATTTATCTCAGCAAAAATGGTACTTTGCCAACTCTCCTAGCTGTTGTCGACATGAGTTATGTCTCTTTTGCAGGTATATGTTTGTGGAAGCAACACAAGTTTTTGTCTCGGACTACCGAAAGATGGGGAGCAATATTCCATGAAAGCTATAAAACTACCACTTCCTGAGGGTGTCAAGAAGGTGCAATTAGAAAAGGTTTGAATTTCTTTGATGTCGTTTGGCACTTTTGCTGGAAGAGGGAAATCGGATCATCAGACTTGCCCTATGCATTTTTGTTCTACCGTTTATTAAAGGCACCGTCCACCCGAATTCTCGACTTCCCTACTTTTGTCGCTTCCAGGCCTTTTGAAGGTCTTGATTCCGAATATGTAGTCGAAAATTCGCGATATACCCAAAGACCCCCGTTTTGGAGAACGGTGCAATGCAAGTCGCGGGGGTGCGGCGCTGATATTTGCCGGGCGCGCCATATGCGAACCTGCAAAGTGGGCGGGGTGACCAGCTGGGCGGAGCGACCAGCACCGGATTACACCCCTTCCGAAGGCTCCATGTCAGGAGTCACGCCGCGCGCCGCGCCGCGCACGTCGCGTCTAAATTTTGTACCCCATAAAACTGCCCGGAGCTAAGGTGGCACGGCGCCAGTCTAGGGGGGTGGGGGGTGGGGGCAGATACATGGCTCGTGCCATAAGTAAGACTGCGCCAGGAGTGCTAGCTTCTGTTTTGCTGACATCGCTTGCGGCATTGCTTCGCGAAAAGTTCGCGCCGACCGTGACTCCTGACCGTTCCCCCGCTAGTATGCCGTCATAATCTCGGCAACCCCCGCTCTGGCTGGACGGTGCCTTTAAGTCGTCACCAATTCAGTAAAAAAAAAGTTGAAACACTAAGATTCTTGAAAGGGTGAACTTTCAAAAAGCACCGTCTCTATAGCGATTTTCGCGTGAATTATGTTTTCAGGTGTTTACCAATGCAGAGAGCACCATTGTACGATCAGCTAGAGATATGTGGATTGCTGGGAGAACACCTCTTGCAGTGTATGAAACATTTACAGCAATTATGGAATGTGAAAGTAAGATACTCATATGCCCCCGTGATTCCAGTCAAACATGCATTTACAGGCTGCTATGGGATGATCATGTCGAATAACAAAGTGTTTGGACTGTCCAGTAAGCTGGCTGTTGTGCATTACTCCACTGCGCCATGGGTAAGCGTTCAGTTTGGTAATTGATCAATGGTTTCGCCGCTTAACAAATAACTAGAAGTATGCAAGTTGAGTAACAAAGAATTGCATAAGAAAAGGCAATTTACTTCAGATTTTTCCCGTGAGTGTAGTTCGCGTAGATTACAAGAACAGAAATCTTGTGGATATTGAGGTTTGTTCATATATCAATATGAACGCTTATATTCGGCGAATACCTTGAAATTTAGGTGACGCTAACAAATAACTCGGGCGTTCTCAGCTACACATTTGATCCACGCCCGTGTCGGGCTCCTATAGAACCTTGTGTGGTCAGTGTGAACGGAGTGCTGATCGAACTGTTTTGTCATAATTACCATGTCACATCCAAAGGTTTGTTCAGTCACAAATTGCATGTGTTTTTTTTGCGTTGTCTGCGCTATCTCGCATTTGTTCTTTCTGCTTTGAGCAAGCTTTTCTTTCACTTTTTTCCAACTCTGTCACCATTTACAGTGTCATCTTACTAAGTGCTCTTGCTTTCACCAATTTTTGAAACAAAAACTGCTTGTTCATTGCGGTTTTTCCAAACTATCCAAACTTCGTTAAATTCCTTGATCTGTATGCGAACAAGTTTGACGAAATTCTTTTTCTCATAATTTCTGCTTTGTTTTTCAGGCGACATCGTCATCATGGGCTATCCCGGATCGAGTCGAGCATTGGTAAATTATGTAGCAGCTGTGAATGTGATGAGCGTTTCTTTTTAGGAATTCTGCAGCCTTTTTCGCGGGCAGGTAAAGGTGATTGAGGACAGGGTAGTTGATGACGGTTTTACGGAAGCATACTCGACTGAATCGAATCTGTCCGGCCTGAGAGTCTTATTACTCCTGCAAGTAAGTTCACAGTTTAGTTCATGTGAAGCTTATTGCCATTACTGAAGGAAATTCCTGGTGCTCAAGTGGTGTCATCATTCGCGAGATCACCGGATGGTAAAAATCTGATATATGTAACTAACAGCTCTATCAACTGCCGAAGTATACAATGGGAGACGTCTGATGTGAGTGTTGAGCTTTCTCGTCCGGACACGTACTCATATTGTTACTTCAAAGTATGCCAAACTAAATGAAGAACGTGAGCTGTCATATCTGGAGAGAATCGACCTAGACTTCAAGGTCAGTTATCTGCATAATATTTTGTACTAGCTGGCTTACCCGGCTCCGCCGTATGTTCCGAATAGAAAATTCCATTTCTTAACCGATCCGGACCAAACTTGGCACACATACACTTCGGGCCCCGGCGGGTGTCATAGGCTACTTTTCGTTATCGATCGATGTCGATTTTATCGATTTTTTGCAAAATTTGAGCTAGGGAGCTGGAATTTGGCAGAGGGGTGTAATCGAGCATGCTGATCACCCCCACGGGGGTGATCAGCATGCTTGATTACCCCCCTGTGCCAACTCCCAGCCCCGAAGCTCAAATTTTGCAAAAAACCGATAAAATCGATATCGATCGATGGCGAAAAGTGGCCTATGACACCCGCCGGGGCCCGAAGTGTATGTGTGCTAAGTTTGGTCCCGATCGGTTCAGAAATGGAATTTTCTATTCGGAACATACGTACACACAGACAGACATACAGACAGACAGACAAACAGACATTCAGCTTTATATATAAGATTTTGTATGCGGTAACAATATTCAGATATTTGACATAGCCGGTAAATGTATCGAGAGCCCTTCATGTATCATGAAAGCTCGTTTCCCTAATGTGGAAGCTTACACTCGGTCAAATAATGAGCTTTGGATTGAAGATGTGGGTAGTTTGTCTACATCGTTATTTTTATGAAGTTAAACAAAATTTTAGCTTGCCAGGGAAGTTTCCGCTATGAAATGTAACCAAGTATTTCGTGATTATCTTATATATAATGAGAATCGCGTCATGAATCGTGGTATGTTCCTAACAGATAGCATCAATTCGTTTTGTGCATCGGCCGTTTTCGGTCGTTCAGGCTCGACTACCAAAGCTATGATGGAAAAAATCTGTCATATGCTAGGAGTGCAGTGTATCAGGCATGAAAGATTTTACCAACTCGGCGAACCCATTAACTCGTTGGAAGATTTTATCGCGCCGAGAAATTGCCTCCTGATATCTGATGAAGGTGTTGAAATCAAATTTGTTAGGTGAGTTTGATCATGAGTAGTTCTTTTCCCTTCTGATCAGTGTTTTAGGGAATTACTGGAGCTCCAGTCCTCATATTTTGGTGTAGCTGTAAACTACCAAAGCATCGAAGAAATGCCGCGATTTCGCCTTCGTGCAAGTGAGACGTTGATAGAGTGGGCTCTGCTTAGTATCGTTAATCCCAACTTTTTGAGAACTTTGAAAACTAGCGAGGTGGGTTCATTTTTCTCAATCATGTTCGCGTATTATGTCGTTCAGATTTGAAGTTTTATGTTATGCGTTCTAGCTGGTCGATTTACTCCCTTTCCTCGATCAATACCTGCTCTATGCCATTACGGCTGATACACTGCGTGTGATGTTCGAAAGAGGTTTGCACACTTTCTTGAATCTCGCTCCACGTGTAAGATAGTTAGAACTCTTCACTGGAGCGCATTTTTCTAACTGATCGGTTTGCACTTTTTTGCGACGCTCATGAAGAGGAGCGTGACCATCGTACACTGCGCACTTATTCACCTTTTTGAATAGTTTGCGCAGTTATCTCGAACAGGTTTGACTTGCTTTCCTTTAGTGAACGAGTTCAATGTTGGTGTGGTATTTGATCTGCACGAAACCGTCCCTCAACTTCGTCCCTTGATATCGGAGTATTTCTACAACAATCTGCATTTGCTGGCTTATTGGAAGAACTCAGGCGCTGCTTCTGACGAATTGATTTTGGAGTAAGTCTTCCTTTACACTGCTTTTCCGTGCTCGTAAATGCTGTGATAACTTTCAAGCACGTTTGCTTGTGGACAGGAAAAATCAAATGACGAAGCTGCGGCTTGTGACGCATACCTGCCATACATCCTAGAACCGGTACGTTCTCCAAGAATTTTTATAACGTTATAACCTTACTCGATGTACATAATACGAGAATTAAGCCTATGATCGAGATTCTCGAATCATATCGCAAAGCCCACTGGAGTTTGTTCCGAAGCGAAGATGTTTTTGATATTCTTCTCGGATCGAACAATCGAGATAAGATACAGGAACAAGCGCTTTCGGTCTGTAGCTTGCCTTCACGTTGTCTGACGGTTTCTCATCTCAATCTAGAGTTTTAGAAATACCTCCAAGAGCATGTGGTAGTGTTTCCTGATGTTGAGGAAGCTATAGAACTGGAACCAACTGGAACACTGCTTCATCCCTCAAATGTGAGTTAACCTAGGTATTGACTTGCTTTTTTGACATGAACGAGATCACGTTTGCTGATTCTATTATTTGAAATTTATGTGATCTGGAAAATTGTTTTCTGTATAGTCACCCGAGCCTGAACTTGTAACCTTGATTCGTTCTCGACTAGAAGAGCGGGAGCAGGCAAAACTGAGGAGACTGCGCAAAAAGAGCGCTGGAAAGTCCACCTCTGAAGGAGTATCCTGTTCCGTGTCGTTTACAAAGGTTAATTTTTATCGTTGCCGTTCGTTGTCAATCCATCTCTATGGCATTAGCATTTGGTTACAGTGGTTTTTGTAGGATGCTGTTGAGGAGAGTACATTGCCGTTAAACTCAGAAATTATTGAAGATGAACTGCCTGAGAGACTCACAGAAAAATGTAGTGAAGTGATTGAGGTACGTTTTTTATCAGCTCATGATATCTTTACGGAAGTACAGATCCTGTTTCTTTTTTCCCCACAAGCTCCAAAAACACCATTTTTGGTTGAAAGGTTTGTTGCTTGGTATTAACATGTTTTCGTCATAAAAACAGCAGATTTGGTCCATTTAATGCTGTCATCATTTATGACTGATTGCGTTTCCGTATGTGGTGTTCTTGCTGTAAGAAGTGATGCGCGAAACTTCTTGGTCTTGTACTTTTCCACATTCATCGATTCGAGGCATAAAGTGTTGAGGGTTCGGTTTTTTGAACTAGTCAATATTGACTGCAACTCACCTCATAATGCTGCACATAAGAAAACCGGCAGTGCTCCTTTGCGCTTGTCTAGAGCTGCTTTCGTGCCAAGTCAACACATAATTACACTTATTTGAGTTTTTCTTGCTTTTTTTTCAAGTCTTTGGGAACGGCCATAGGTTGCCGGCAACGGTTGTCGATGTTGTCGGTGTTGTGGTGTTGTCGGGGTTGTCTGGGTTAGAGACAGTTTTAGAGAGCGCGCGAAACGTGGAGGCTATCATGAGCTTTTATACAACGACCGGCAACCTCGGCAACCCCAACAACCCGACAACTCCGACAACATCGACAACATGACACCACCGACAACATCGACAACACCAACGACCGTTGCCCGGCAACCTGTGGCCGTTCCTTTAGGTTGACCCTCTGCAAGTGGTGCGGATGTTTAAAATAGTCAAAACTTTTCATGTGTGACTATTTAGTTGCTTGTGACTGACAAAAAAGTAATTGCATTGTAGGAACGTTCATTTTTGAAAGTGGAAGAGAAGCATGAAGATCTACTCCCGAGAGAGGTTAGCCCAGTTTTACATCTTCCAAGATCTTTGATGCTTGTTTTTTGACAACATCTGCAGTTCTTGCTGTACTTGCTGTTATTACTTCTGTTAAGAGCAGCTAGTCTACGAATTTTTGAACGAGATGTTGCGCATAAGTTGCTATCCAAAATTCATTTGTGTGTGAATTTCTATGGAGATGCAAAAGTTTGATTGCACATAAATAAATGAAAAATGTCACAGTTTCTGCACTAATTGAAAGAAGTGATACAATGTATATGCTTTGCTTTGTGACATAATCCATAGATGCTGTTTGCTGCAAATTTTGACTGCACGCCTTAGTCTGCCCGGCTTGCTTCAATTTTCAATGTTGACATCTTCCATTTTCTCTGTTAATCTCTACAATATGTATATAGTTGATAGTAATTGATTAGTCTGCTTGTCTTCATCTGCAGTAAGCATCATAACATGCTAAGGAAGTAATATGACAGCTGTTGCAGCGCACAAAATCTTCATCTGGCCGTGCAGATAGCATTGTCGAAGAAGATGAGATTATATCGACAGCGCCACAAAAACCCGCTTGGAAAGCACCTGACTTGCAAGTTTCACCTCCTGTGACATCTCCCATTTTCGACGCTAATGCTACGTCGCCGACAACATCGAAGAAGAAATTTTCTGGAAGGTTCACTCCTAAGGGTACTAAATTTCGCGATGCTAGCGATCTACTTGTGGGAGCTCAACAACAAGGCACACATTTTGCGCCATGGTGAGCATTGCGTTATAGCGATTTTCGAAGCTCAATGTGCATTATGACAGGGCTGGAGCAGCGACATCTCCTCAGAATTCTTATACTCCGCTTGCATCCATCATATTGAAGGGAGAGACGGAGTCTTTAAAGCCTGCGAACAAAGAAGCTTCTCTTGTGAAACCAGATAATGCTCGACAACAACGCAGAAAAACTTCTGCAAATGTTTCATGGAGCGAGGTTGATTCTTGAGATTTTTCCCCTAGTTGACATGCAGTTTGGGATTGGTAAAATGGCGCAGTTTAGAATGTTCTGTCGCCATCGCCAGCCACATCGCCACCAGCACCATCATTAGCTGAGATCATGCGTGAGGAAGAACGACGTCAACGGGAAGGTTGGTCGATTTCTTAAATTTTGAATCGTCGTTTCTTTTTTATGAACGTTTTACTTAACATTGAAGTAATGTTGCCTGGTGCACTTGTTAGTCTTGTTTTATTTCTCACTTTTTTGTCGAAACTAAGGTGAGTACTGCGCAACTTTGAGAATGAAATCACATCTATTGTATGCATTGTTTTCTCTTTTCAAATTGTTTTATTTTTGGTGTCATTCATCGATTAGTTTGATCACCCTTTTGACATTCTTCTTACGAGAATGATAAACTAATGAAGATAGAGTTTCTGATCACTTTTTGCATGGATATCATCTATTTTTGGCTACAAAAAACGTTTACTGTCATATGTAGTTTATAGCTTTGCTCTAATCAAATTTTGCTTTTTCTTTCGCTTTTTCTCGCAGTGTGAGTGACATCAATGATCCTGTTATGTTTGTTTTCATCTTAAATTGTTAATTTCTAGGCACGAAACGTCTCTCAAGGCCATTGCAATTCATTGAAGATGAAGAACGAGCGATCGACGAGTTGACTCAGCTATATCGCGAAAATGTCGGCGATGAGGTGGTCGTGCGAGTTGAGCGTTGCGCCAACTCGGCTGATACTGCAGCTCAATGTCCCGTCTGGACGAATACGCCACATTTTCGCGCGTGAATGGATTATTTGCTGACGTCATTTCACTGAATCAAGTACAACTAAGTCTTTATTTTTGATTTCACTTTGCTTCACGTCATCGCCTTCTTTCTTCTACCCTCTTTTCTTTTGTAAATTCGCACAATATATCAACAACTTCTTAAATGTTATCTACGTGGAAAATTCTGAGAATTGTACTTTGGTTTCAATAGCAGTGTATTGGGTGATTTTCTTGTTACATAGCTTCTGCCTGCTGCGTCGTAATTCGGCTCCAGTTATATGACACTGGCTGGCTGCCAGCTCCCAGATGTGCCGCAGCAGAGCCTAATGACTTTTTGCAGCGTCGGACTTAGTCATGTTAGTTAGTATCTGGAGTCCCTCTATAGTTTGTACAATGTTCTACTCTAACATTACATCTTTTCGTGCACTTTTGAGTTATAATTTTTCTCACTCATGCTTAGCCGTTCCCATCGCTCAGTTTATATTGAATTGTTCTTGTATTGAATTTGTTTTATATAATCAAGTTTTTGTCGTACTGTGAATAGAGATGTTTATACCTCACCGAGGCCAAAAAAAGCGGGATTTTCTTTAGGATGATTAGCATTTCTTACATGCAAAGTAGATATGGGTGTATTTTAAATTTTACGTTGTTATGGTTTTCTATAAAAGAATTTTCGATCTTTATTGTTCATGAATACGTTGCTATGGTTGTGAATGAGACCACTGTATTACACCTCTTTATGCTGATATTTGCGTTTTTGGTCTTTCGTTTTAGAAATGTGTTCTTTGTTTTTCCCCATTTGTGCTTCGTTCTTGCTCAGTAGTGCAACCATTGTATGCATTAAACAGATTAAACTTTAGGAAGGTGCTTCCAACAAGCTGGCTGCGCGTTTTCCGCTCAATAAAAAGAAGCGGAGGCCAGCAGCAGTAACACAATGGCTTATTATGGTAATCATGGAAAAGGACGCACCAAAAACCACCACAACAATTTCGACCGTGATGAGCCGAACGGGTGAATTCTCTTTTGAAATTTCAAGAAGAAAACTGCTTACAGTATTAAATCGTTTTGTGTAGGTTCAAAAATCCACAATACGGCCCGCATGTGCAATTAATTGACGCAAACTGGGAGCGGCAAGTGACAGCGAAGCTGGATGAGTTCATGAATGGCACCACTACTGGTGATTAAAGCTATACATAACATGACACCGTTAACCTCATTCCTACATGTGCATGAATGTAATGGTTGTAGAGCTCTGTTTTCCACCTATGGAAAGACATGAACGACGGCGCTTGCACGAACTAGCCAGACGCAAAGGTCTTCAAACATCAAGCGAAGGGTACGTTGTTTTTTACGTGTAGGAAGATGAAATGGAACGGTGCCTATCTAGGAGAGAACCCAATCGAAGATGTGTCGTTCATCGTCGTCCTACGCCGAAGTTAGCTGCAGTTGGAGCGAATGAGACTCAACCCATTCGACTTACATCTGAGATTCGGAAAGTGGTGAGTCTCTTTTTTTTCATTCTTGGAGTTTGCTACCATCACATACCATAACTCTGTTTTGTAAAATCAAAGCAGTCGAATTTTCTCTCGTTTGTAAGAAGTCGTCGTCTACGTATAGAAATCTTTGATTTCTTCGTCTGAGTGGTAAATTTAGCCATAGTCGCAACCAGTCGGCTGTGATTTTGTACGTTACATTAAGATTCATATTCATCTCTAAAATCTCGTTGGCATTGCGCTAGTTTGGAGCGCATAAAAATTTATTTTGTCTTCACCTTTTAGCTTTTTTGTTGTGTGATCCTCTAACGCTCAGAATAGGTCATTTCATATCCGCTTCTGAACAAAATAAATATAACATTGCAGCTATCTAACTTCATCAGCCAATATCCTATCTATGGTCCGGCTATTGATCGTCACCTGGCAGCCCCAAAATGTTGGTTTGCGTCTCTTTATTGAGTTCAGAATTTATATGACGGGATGCCTAGATTTATCTTGTTATTTAGCCAGAGATCGCTCACAACGAGATGTAGGCAATAGGGAAAGACCAGAAATGCTTGTACCTCAACGTAGCAATATCACTGCAGAGATGCAAAAGCAAAGGTAAGAGCGCATTGCTTTTAATTCGAGAATAACTGCAATTTCTTGTAATTAGGAACATGCTACCAGCATATCAGCAACGAGCAGATGTGCTAAAAGCCATCAATGATCACAAGGTGGTTCTGATCACCGGCGGAACGGGGTGTGGTAAAACAACACAGGTATGTTGATTAAATCTTCTTGTAGTAAATTTGTTGACTACCCATTTATAGGTCCCGCAGTTCTTGCTTGAAGATGCGTACGAGCACCAGCAACCGTTGCGAATCGTTTGTACACAACCGAGACGATTACCAGCAATTGCTGTGGCAAGTCGTGTCGCAAAAGAGCGTGGTGAAAGTTTGGGCTCAACTGTTGGATATCACATCCGACTAGAACAAAGGTAGGCAACCCGAAATACCCAAGTAACCCGAAATCCCAATTACTTTCGCCTACAGTTTTTGTTGAATTCGATATCCGCCTTTCTAGAACATCACCGCAAACAGTACTGACATACTGCACAAGTGGCGTACTGTTAAGAATGCTGACTCAGGATGATGCTGCTTGTGACATCTCGCACATCATCCTTGTAAGTTGCGATTTTACCAAGCAGTTGCGCATGTTCTTGCTCTATCGATATTGATTCTCAAATTCAATTTACAGGATGAGATCCATGAACGAGAACAGAACACTGACTATCTGCTGATTGCTCTGAAGCAAGCTCTAAAGAAAAGGAATGATTTGAAGGCAATATTTTGAAAAATCCATTTCGTTATCATTGTTCTTTGTTTTCGTTATAAGTTTTTGCGTTATTCATCATTGCTTTTCCAGGTAATATTAATGTCAGCTACGATGGAAGGGAACTTGCGACTCTTTACTAAGTACTTTGGTGAGAAAGTCGAAGTGAAGCATATTGATAGTAAGTCATTTCTTCGTCTGTCTTTGAATATGTTTGTGATTCTTGATAATGATGCTTGCCATATACTTACTCACTTGGGCTGCCGACTTACCTTTTTACATGCGTTTTTTTGTTACTCCATCATTCCTTTTTATTTTCTGTTTTTTTTTTCATTTTTATAACTGGTCAATCGTTTCAGTTCCATCTCGACTGTTTACCGTTGAACGATTTTTCCTCGGTGACGTCATTGCTATGACTGGCTTTGTCCCAGAAGAAAGCATGTTTAGTAGTATGTTCATGTCTGCGGGGTTCCCAGAAGTTTGCAGGTATAACTCTCCTCTCTTTTAGCAGTCGCTTCAGTGAAATTGTATGTTATAGTTTTCCAACTGTGGGTGACTGGTCAATGAAACCAGAGTGGGAGCAAGATCATCAAGTTCACGGAAGATTGCCAGAAGCTATGGTTTGACTCCATCATCACTTGGATGTCAATACTTCTGTATCATCTTTTTGCAGACTGCTCCAAATCTCCAGTCACTTGCTGGCGCGACGCCGAGCTCGTCTAACCAAATGGCTGGTAGTCACATGATGACCTCATCTAGTGTCGCATCTTTCCCTCAGCATGGAAAACAACAACATACTGCAAATTTTATGAATGTTGCGCAGCAGTTGGTGAAGTGAGTTCATATTCTGGGGAGTTGATAGAGATGCATGTACAGCGGTATTTTTTTCAGTTCACAGCATTCATCCTCCGGTCATCAACAGCAACCCCCTCAGCCCTTGAGCGCTCCACCTCAAGGTGTTGTGCACCATCCACAACAGCAGCCTGCTATGCCTGGATACGTACAACAACAAGGGACCATCTATGTGCAACAATCGGCATACCAGCAGGTGGATATTGTTTGGTGGTAGTATTTTCTTCGTATGCACAATGATGGTTTTTTTTCGCGTTCTCCATTCTTTTTTCTTTAGGTTTGATAAATTTTCGTGTTTTTAAACCGACCAGCTACCTCCATAATCGCCATTATTCCCTTTTCATTAGATCTTTAGGGTTACCCTCAAGCACATGCTTTTCCTCAAGGTCAGATTCGCCAAGTTTATACGCAACAACCAGGAGCCGTGGCGATGCCTCATTGTGAGTATTCATAACAAATCTCAATGCTTCATCCGCTACGCACATTTGTCACTATGTTTCTAGCAGCTACCTGGGGTGGAAACATGGATCAATCGTTCAATGGAGTGGTGCATGCACATCCCGATGTTGTAGATCTTCCAAGTGAAGCTATCGATCCGGAGACGATGGAGCAATTTCGGCAGATGGGTAAGCTCGAGTCTTTGCTGAGATACATGCCTCCTCAATCACATCATTCTACGTTTTCGTAGCAGGTTATGCTAACAACGATGACGTTGGTCCAGCTGTAACGTACGGTGCTGAATGGCGTGTAGCCGAAGGAGAAGTTCAACCACAATGGCAGCACACTGTGAGTTTTATCTGCGGGTTATTGTTTCCCAAGCCTTTCTTTTCTTCTCCATTTATTAGAAGCCAAAGTTTTTAATGCCTTTTTTGAGTTTGGTTAGTATTTTTACAATCTATTTGGTTAGTATTTTACAGAAGATATTTTTTTGCAATAATGTCAAAATTCGTCTTTATAATTTTGCCATTATGAAGCAATAATTTCTGTTTTCTCTTTATTTGATCCTAAAGAACATTTTCAAGCAGTCATACTCCGCTATACAAAACGCTGGTTACCAACAAGGTCACCTGCAAAGCTGGGATACGCAAGTTGTTTACACCACTCCACCCGCTCCTTACCACAAGGTCTGCTACATGACATATTTGGAGTAATCTTCTTGACGAATTACTTGTTCTTTTAGAACTCCCAAACTCAACAGCCGATGTTTTACGTTCCGGAGAGTTTCGACAATTCTCCCTCCAATAAAACAGTAACGGTGAGGTTTTGACAATGCAGTGGTCACGCTGTATATGATCACCAATATTTATTTTAGTACTTTGCACAACCTATAGAAGGTTATCCTGTGCCTATGCAAAGTAGTCATGCGATACCACCCCAAGGGACAGCATGTCCGCCACCTCCGTACTCTGTGCCTCCTCCACAACATGCTCCACCCGGTTATCAGAGTTTGCAAGGTGGTCTTCAACCGCCGATGGATAGCTATGCGGTGTGTTGCTTCTTTACTCCAATTTTCGAGAGAATCAGGGGATGTCAAGATGATTATAGAGCGCTGTTCAAAGATCTGAAAAAGAGCTCGAGATGATGCGTCATCAGTTGGGTTCTGCACTGCCAGATAGACCAGAATCGTTTGATCCACACATTAGACACCTACTTGCAGCGAGAAGATTAGATCAGTCAGCACTCGTTAATGTAAGTCGTTATATCATCTGCTTTTTTGCTTGCTGTTTTGTGAATTCTCTTGACTTCAACTATCCAGATGTATCTAAAATGTGGAGGTCAACAATGGGCAGAGGCTGTGGACCTTGATCTAGCCATGGCTGTTGTCAAATACTGCATGGACAGTCGCGTTGATGGTTTGTACTGTATTGTTTGAATCTATAGTTTGTCATGAAGACAACAAGTTTGCTGGTCATAGCTATGACTTTTATCCTTTCTTTTCTTATCTCTTTAAATGCGGTTTATTCTGAAGCATGTCTTTTGAGGTGCTATCCTCGTGTTCTTGCCTGGATTTGACGACATCGTTCAAATGCGTGACAAAATCAACACTGAATCTTGGCATTTACGACGTCCAGTAATATTCACTCTCCACTCCCAGATGAACTCATTCGATCAGCAGAAGGTGTTTGATGCAGTAGGTCCAAATGAGCGGAAAGTGGTGGGTAAATGAATTTCTTATTTGATGAGGCTGAGGCCAATTCAGTAAACTGACTCGTCTGTTGCAGATCCTTTCAACAAATATCGCCGAGGCCTCGCTTACTATCGATGATGTGGTATTTGTCGTTGACTGTGGAAAGGTTAAGGAAAAAACCTATGATCACACTTCTCGTATAAGCCAGCTGAAGGTCACTTGGATCGCTAAGAGTAATGCGGAACAACGAGCAGGTGCGTAGATTTTGTGATTTGCTGCTATCAATATCATCTTATCAAACTTGCAGGACGTGCTGGTAGATGTCGTGAGGGCTACTGTTTCCGTTTGTACAGTGTCGACGATTACGATGAGATGCTGGAGACACAGATGGCAGAGATGCAAAGAACTGCAATTCATGTAAGTTTTGACATATTTATGCTGGAAATCCCGCAGATTGGTCATTTATAGGACGTTTGCTTACATGCAAAGATGTTTGCCCCCGAAAATATGACAGTGAAGCAGTTTTTGCAAATGGCGCCAGAACCACCTTTGGCAGATGCTGTTGACAAAAGCATGGATTTTTTGGAGGTGAACCATGGAAGCTTTGACAGTCCTTGATATAGGAAGATCATTTTTAGCAACTCGGTGCGTTATATTCCGAAGCCAGCACATCGGACATTGATGTCACTGGTCCTCCTGCACCGTATGTCGAGCCTCAGCTTACGGATTTGGGAAGACTTGTGGCACAGTTGCCATTAGATCCTCAATTAGGTGCGTTGTTTTTGAGAAGCGCTGCTGTATGTATTTATTTAATTTCTAGCTCGTCTGTTGTTGTTTGGAGTGGTACTGAAGTGTCTGAATCCAGTGGTAACATTGGTTGCTGCCCTGTCTCATAGAGATCCATGTAAGTAGTATTAAGTCATTTTGTTTGTTGATTTTACCTCTAGATGATTTCCGCTATTTTTCTATGCTTTTGAAAAGATTTTGGTTCTTTGGCAATGTAGTTTATTTTCATACTTGCTGAGCTGTGATTGGTCTTTGCTCAAACTTTTGTCAAAACCTTCTTCTTTAGTCATACTAGCACTTTCTGAGGAGCGTGAGCAATCGAATCGGCAGAGAGACAGCTTTGGTAAACGTGATTTCTCAGATCATATCACGTTGATAAGGTAAGATGCAGTTCTGAGATTGAGTATTATTTTTTGCCCGCTACATAAACAGAATGTTACATTCCTCTCAACTGTAAAACAAGGCGCTTCGAGTCCTTACGGGTTCGACATAATTTCACGGATTATTGCTTGTTTCAGGGCTTTCAATGAGTTCAATGAAAAAAGTGCAAAAGAGGTAACTGCATTCTGTCGCGCCAACTACTTGTCTCTTCCGGCAATGCGTATGATCGCTGGAATACGGTACTTTTTTTCTCAATGAATTTTTGGTGTTGCTGTCTTTGTCAAGTTAGAATTAAACTGACGGCGCATAGAGATTCTGAGCACCTTCTGTGCGCGAGCACTCTTGGTACCAAAGGCTGCTCACACTCCCTGTGCGCACCACTCTCTGGGCCAGCAGGCTCCTTCTAGATGCGTCTATTTCAAATGTTGTCGTTTCTTACGTGCTTGAAAATTTTTTAGCCGTCAACTTATTATTGAACTACGTCGAGTGCGAATGATAACTTATGATGGCGATCCTCTCAATGCTCTTCGCGACGCCACTTACAACAAGTAAGCCGTCATTGGGTTATTCTCATTGTTCAATACATGCACTATCATACAGATACTCATCATGTTGGCCAATGGTACAAGCGGCAATAGTAGCTGGCTGCTATCCGGGTATAGGATTTGTAAGAGCCGGTAATAAATTGAAGAAGATCAGAACGAGGTGGGGCTATCATCTTGATCTTGTTTGGTCTTTTTTGCCAACTCTTGATCTTTGTAGTACTGAAGCTGCTGCTACACTTCATCCATCTTCGGTTATCAAAAGACAGGTCTTAACAGCGTCGAAGAGAAGCGAAGTAATTAATCAGTATGTAACGGAAGACTCAGAAGATCCTGTAATCGAATACCTAGCATTCCATGAACTTGCGAAAATTGATGAAGGCCTAACGGTGAGAACCTCTTTCTTCATTTGCGAATTGTGATTTTAATATCTTGGTTTTTAGTTACGTACTGTAACAGTGGTACCACCATGTGCTGTTGTATTGTTTGCTGGATCTATGCGGCTAAAAAAGAGTATTATACAAAATTTCAACATTAGTAAGTTCGACTTGATTCAGCCCAATTATTTGACAGCATTTTATCAATTCTAGCTGATCCTGATTCTGAAGATGAAGGTGAAGTTGATGAAGATGCTCCATCTAGAGATGTCGTGTACCCCATTGAGCACTGGATTGGTGTCAGAGCTACATACTCGGTGCGTTTTACAGTCTTTTTTGCGCAAGGCATAGCTCGCTTAATTATTTCAATCTTTTATACGATTGACACCCTGTGTTTTTGAAATTTGGCATGCAGCAATACTGTCACAGCTATTTTCAGTCCAAATTCACTCCTGTTTGTGCTTTGCATCACTTCATTATACTTCTTTGTTTGCCATCTTGCGTTCAGACTTGTATCATTTTGCGTATCTTCACGAGTACTTCATATGAACTTTGTGCGTTGGAATTTCATAATGGACAAACTGATTTAGTTTTACGCAAACTGTAGACCCTCCAATTCCTTAAACTGTGAACACGGTTCCAAATGCTGCAAATCAATCTCATCTCCCATTTTTTGCATCATTTTTTTAACGTAGCCTGCGTATATACGATCTGATTTTCACTCACTACTGCTTTCAGGATATGAAGCGGCTAATTCAACTTAGATTCAAAGTTATGTCGTACTTCTTGTCAGTCATACACAAACCTCAAATGCTAGCCAATCCAATGAAGGAGGACAATGTACGTATTCTATCTTTACACTTCTAATCTTTGCATTATCATGATCGTTTGAAATTAGGACCTACTGGCGACCTTAGCTCAAGTGCTGCAAACTGACCATCAGGAGATGAAGTTCAATCAGTGCCAGTTACCGCAGCCGCCGTTGATTTATCCTCAACACCAAGTGCCAACTTCTTCATCAAATTCGAGCTATAGCTCTCATAATGGCCAACAGGTCCCTAATCAGCGATTCCCTCTTAGAGAGGTTGCATATCTTTCAACGCTATCATTCGACCTAGTACTGATTGTTTTTTAGGCATCCACATCTCAACCCAATATGAGCGCAATCGTTGAAGTGAGTGCCAAACCGGTAAGTTTTTTTTGTCTTAGCATCTTCTTTGGGTTCAATGGTATTGTTTCGGGTTGCTCCTCAACCTCGTAATGAGGCCGCCTCTCTCAATGAGGTTACACCACCCTCCCATCCTGTGTCCCATTTCCAGACCGGCGGATTTGAGAAGAAATTTGATGAAGAGCAAGCAGCGTCATTTACACCGCAACAAGATACAGAACAACAGAACCGTTATCAAGATCAGCGTGAGAGAAGACATGGCCAAGATGAATACGGCTACCAGAAGGGTCGTAGAGATAACTTTGACCAACGGCAGCAACGATTCAATCGCAATAGAGATGACTGGCAACGCAACAGACCCTATCAGCCTCGGGAAGGTGGCTACAGAGATAAGGTGGATAGATCGCAGAGCTTCCGTGAGCGTGATAGGGAAAGGGAGCGAAGTGGCCGCGATGAAGCTGCATCAGGCTCGTCTCAACAGCAGCAACCGAGACAAAGAATGCAGGTAAGATTAGGGATCTCTTATGATGGCTTCATTCCTGATTTGTCTTGCACAGGGCTACAACAATCGTGACCGAGACTACCGTCAAAATGATCGCGACTGGAATCGTGGCGATTCTTCAGGACCGGATCAGCTCACTTGGCAACAAAGAGAAATGGAGAGAAATGATAGTTTCCGGGAGAGACAGGGTAAGTGGCAGATATATAGTGAAGGAAATAGTTTTAAAAGTCATCCGTCACAGGTCGTCGAGATTATAACAACCACAGGCAAAGGCAATATAATAAGTACGAAGACGATCGAGAGGAGCCAGTGAGTTTTTTCTTTTCCTTCTTTTTTTTCAAATGTTCAAACAGAGATAACGGATGTTTCTGTTAGTTACGTTTTGATTCACGAGTGCGTTTCAGGTTCCCGAAGATCCCCGCGTTGATAGAAATGATGAAGACGGCTGGGATTATGTGAGTTTTCATAAAATTGTAACCTCCCTTTCATTATTAGCAGATTGATGCAAATCAGGTTCATTAGTTGGCCCAGCATTACTACACCTACTTGATGAATGAGATGTTTTATCTATAGGATGATTATCAAGCTGCTGGTTACCACCATGATCCACAAGAATATCAGCACAAGCACAATCGTTACAATAATCGACCATATAACAATCGTGGTGGCTTCCGAGGTCGTGGTCGTGGTGGATTCTATCATAATCGTCATTACAACAACCGTGACGGTAAGTATTGTTGATATGATTCCCTGGGGATGTTACGAGTGACCATTCCCTAGTCATGAGCTTTCTTCGTTCGATTTGATAGAAACTGAGATATCCCGTACTAGACAGTACCGATCTATTACCAATTCATACAGTTTCTTACATCTTGTGCACGGTGTAAACCGTTGGGTTTGATCTGCACGCGCTTTGAATGCAAATACTTATTAGTTCAGATTTATTGACCAAGAACTATTTCAAAAACTCTCATTGGTCTTGCCCTTCGCTTTTTCTAGGCTTGCCTTTTCTGACTTTTCTGCGTTTTCTTCCTGCTATTCAGAGAAAAAACTATAACAATTTGCAGACAATCGCCGTGAAGTCCAGGATGATGATAGAGGAGAGAGAGATGGACGCGAACTTAGAGATGTGAAAGACGGTGTTGATAAAGACCGTGATCATGCTGAAGGCAACCCGTGAGTTAAAAGAATGTGGTACGGTATCCTAGTTAGTTTTTCACATGCTCTGATTCAGGCGTAATAATGACAGAGGCTTCTATAGACAAGGCGGAAAGAACTATGATAATGCTAAAAGGTTAGTCATCATAGTCTCTCGTGATTATGTATTTATGAGTTTTTATGAGTTTCCGTATCTCACTGTTCTTTCACTATTACTCATTATCGTTGCTTTTTTTTTTCAACTGAGAGGCAACCTCCTAATTTTGACATATTTTTTAGTGGAGATAACGATCGAGACAAGCACTCTGAACGTAGCCGTGTCTTCTATAATAGTAACAAGTCCCATTTTCAAGGTATGTGTTTTTTCTGGACTCCCTCTTTTCACTATTTGTTGTCGATTACTGCTTTTCATCATCAATGGCGGCAACTTTTTCCAGTATTAAAAATACTGAGGTACACTTGAATATGGTCTTGTTCACATATATGCGCATATCGGAAATGCGCGAAAATCATTGTTTCCTTCTTGAACCATTCAATATCACTACATGCTTTACTGATACGGATTTTGTAATGTGATTATTTTTCAGATCGACGACGTCGTGGTTCAAGTTCGAATTTTAATTAGAGATTTCTTACTACTTTGATCTTACTTTATGGTCTTCCCTGTTCTCACAGCACTCGATTGCTTCCTGCTATCTACATATTTCCTGTTGTTGTTTGTTGTTTTGTTTTGTTCCACTGCACAATGTAGTCTTTGCACATGCGTTCATACCAAATAGCTGTTTATACTTCACAAGGCCCGCCCCTTCACTTTTTGCGTCGCTTTCGTTGTGTGTGGTGCAGATGCGATTTAGCAATGTTCTCCTCACGTATTGTTAGTCGACAGTGCTCAGTTTTGAACATTATGTTAGTTGTAAATATCTTTGCATCACATTTCTTTCTATCACAAAAAAGAAATCTTTGCAATACGCTTTCCTTTTCTTAATAGACATAATGTTTGAAATCGAGTGCGTTTTTTGCAGTATTTTTCACTCTTTTTTTCAGATTATCTTTCTTCTCACATGCTCCATAGTAAGCCTCGTATCTTATGATATAACATTCTAGGCATATTGTGCACAGTGTTCGTGTCACAAGGTGTTGACGCAGTTAGTGGGTGTTGTTCGCTTCTTTTTTTTGCAATTTTTTATCTACTTTTTCTCACCAAATGGCAGACTCTGTGATTGGTTCGTTGTTTCGTCTGCCAGTAGCATCACTGTGTAGAAGTAATCGATCGGGCAAAACACGATTCTGTAACATTTAGTAGTTATTGTTATTAATAATAAGCAATTGGCGTTTTATGAAACGACCCGATATGAGGTGATGGCAGAAGCTTGGAAAGTAATTTCTAGGTAATTCTGAACTCAAGTTTTGATTTTCATGCCATCAGCTCTTTTTCTAGATGCACTCCAATATACTTTGAAGACTCACTTCTAGTTATAGTAGGTGATGTATCGTCCCCTGTAACACTTTGTTTCTTTACATTTCTAACAAATAATCTGATGTATTTGTTTTACAATAACTAACATTTTCTCAAACTAATCATGCATCGATGATATCCGTGTGTTCCCTATGGTTATACTGAGTTTTCGTTAATATATTCTTCCCCCGCGAATAAGCGATTTCTCGTCATTCTTTCATTTAGATGATCGATATTTATTATCCATTGTTGATTCTGGTGGATCTATGTATACTCTTCTCCAAACGTCTCCATTATACTCGTGAAAATCACTACCAATAAGTTTCTCCCATCTATAGTCGGAATAAAAGAGTATTTTGCCCAAAATGTGTTTTTGTGATATTTGATGATTTGACGTATTGATCGTGATGTTTCTAGTTTCTTTCTGAGATGATGCTTGCATACAAAAGAGGATGGTGATTTTGCAGGCATTCTGCCATATAGGGACCAGTTCTCGTCTAAGCTTTGTCAATGTCTAGACGGGAAAATGAGCATACACCGTCTTCATCAACATCATCTTCATTTACGGGTGTGAAATATGTGTCAATATTGGATGGAAAAACGAGAACCATACCAGCGGTATGCTAGAACAACATTTTTTAGAAATCAAGTATGGCGCTAGAGCATTCTAGGGTGAGCATTGTGTTTTCCCAGTTTAGGCTGTGGTGAAATTGGGAAAGCCTTCTGCTTTGCAAGCGCTGTAACGCTGGATATCCGTCCAAAACTTCCGTAGGTTTATAAACATACGGAAGGGATGGAACAGACAAATGCTTGTATGTATGTCTGAACTTTTGCAAGCAGGAAATATACAGCTGAAAAAATACAATTGGACCAATTTGGCGATATAGTGGGAGAAGTTAGAAATTATACAGTTTGTTCAATCGGGGTCAGGTCGAATCCTTACCGTAAATTTGCGCTTCGCACCGCTAGGAATTGCGCTGCATATACAGGGCTTTACAACCTGAGTGTCACAGCCGCCCCGCTCGGCCGCCACGCTTAGGTCCGCGCAGCGTTCGTGGCACCAGGCTGCGCGTCGACTGAAGCTTGGCGAAATCCGGGCGATGCGCAGCAAACGCCGCGCGCGGCCTGAGCGAGCGGCCGCGTTGGAGGAGGCGCGCAAGCGGAGGCTGTGACTCTTATGTTGAAAAGCCCTGTACCCTTTCAATGGGATTGGCAGCTGAAAGGTGACCGCTGGCACCCGCGACGCAGTTTGCGTCTCTCTCGCGGGTGTGTTTACTGATCATTCCCTAGCCTTGGTTAGGCTCGAAATTCCGCCTTCCAGCCGCCATTCCCGTTGAATCAAAGGGTATGTGCGCAGTCGGAGAGAGAGAAGAGATTAGAGAGGGTAAGGGACTATATGTCGCCGATAGGCTCCATCCCGCGCGAACAGCTGCTACAGGTGGTCCCGTGCAGACACTGCGACAAAGCGCGCTTCTCCATATCATACAGGCACACAGATTTGTACCAGCTGCCTGTGTGGAATGAAGACTGTCGTCGACATATCCCTACCGCATAAAGTCCTCAACCCTAAAGGAGGATGACGCGCAGGCTGTCTTAATGCTGTGTTCGAGTCGCCGCTGATGCCTTGCTCAAGTCTTACGACGCGTCTGCGGACGTATTTTTAGGGTATTTTTCCAGTCAGAGGCAGAGAGTGAATGCTGACGAGCGTGGGGAAGAGTTCAAGGCGACGCTCACGAACGCGGCACAGACGAGCGAGGCGGCCGCGTGGGATCTGGGCCGCTGAAGCTTTGCGCCTGTCTTGAGACAGTCTGTATCCTTTGCTTCAATCAAATCGGCGGCTGGAAGGCGGGTTCCGTGTCCTAATTAGAGTTAGGAAGTGATCAGAGAGCATGTTCGCGAGGAGGCGCAGATTGCATCACGGACGCGAGTAGTCGCCTCCGTTATGAGGCCTCCGCCTTCCAGCCGCCGATCTGGCTGAAACAAAGAGTATATGCGAACGGATCATCCTAATAATGTTGAATTTCCTCCATCTCAAATTACGTACTGATGCTGTACTAAGAAAACGATTTGTCTAGAAATGGGCAAAGCTTACTTTCAAAAATCAGAGAGGAACAAAAATCGCGTGAAAAAAGACTTGTAAGCTTGGCAGGGATGCTGATTTTTGAATTGATATGTTCAAGAAATTGAGCGCCTGCATTTGTGTCATATAATTCGTGAATAACACAAAAACAGTCTAAAATCACAGCGTACTCAAACGGGTGGGTAGAGAATAGTTGATGCTGTTGCAATCTCACTTTTAGACTATCTTCGTTCCAGGAAAAATTGGGTTATGGTGCCTGTCGCTCAGTGAATGAATTCCAAAAATTGAACCGCATAGGAGAAGGCACCTATGGAATAGTTTATCGAGCTAAAGATACAAAAAGTGGACAAATTGTGAGTTGACTAGTAGTTTGCTCATTTGGAGCTCCTAAAACAATTTTTCCAGGTAGCCTTGAAAAAAGTCCGTGTTGACAATAAAATGAGCGCTCAAGTTGGGATCTCAGATTCCGCACTGCGAGAAATTGTGCTGCTCAAACGGCTCAGGCATGAGAATATCGTTGAACTCAAGGAGGTTGCAGTGTCACGGGATCCTCAAGGGATGTTTTTGGTGATGGAGTATTGCGAGCAGGTTAGTTCAGATTCCGGGGTTTACTCGGAACAGAATCTATACTTTCAATTTCGGTGAAATTTTATTTGAGGATTTGGCAAAACTCTTGGACGAAATGGTGCATCCATTTACGGAGCCCCAAGTTAAGTGTCTTATGCAGCAGTTGTTTCGAGCTCTGAATTACATGCATACACATTATGTGCTCCATAGGGATTTGAAGGTATGTGGGAGATAATTCGAGTTTTAGTAGTATTTTTTGATTTTTTTCTCGTAGGTGTCCAATCTCCTTCTTACCAGTCACGGCATATTGAAAGTTGCTGACTTCGGGTTGGCTCGTGTTTTTGGTGAACCTGATATGAGCATGACACCGAGAGTGATAACTTTATGGTAATGTTAGAAAAGGTCTACAGACTCAAGAGCTTCTTAGAGATCGCACTTGCAGGTATCGCTGTCCAGAGTTATTGTTTGGTAGCAAAACGCAAACGACTGGTATAGACCAATGGGCAGCCGGATGCATCCTTGGGGAACTGCTGCTACATCGGCCACTATTACCAGGAAAAAGCGATATGGAACAGGTTTGTTTTTTGAAACTAGAGAGATTTCGTCTTTCAATTGTCCATGAGTCCGTTTGAAAAAATTGGTGGCTGCTTGTTTTTTGTCTTTTTTTTTCTATTCTGCTCAATTTTTATGTGCTATTGTTATCGAAAACCTAAAACCTCACCAAAGTAGTTACGGTCGAGAGTAGTTGTCGGTCATCGACCGCACGGACTGGCCGTAGATTGCAGAGCAAGCGCTGCACGGCCGAACGCTTGTAGCACAATTTGCTACTGTACATCTCGTGACCTCGCAGCCGCGCCGTGCGTGCTCGCAGTGTACGGTTATTTCCTGCGGTCGGCGACTCGACAATAGTTCATGCCCTTTAAAGCTCGAGAAATGTTGTAGAGGGAGGGGTTAGGGAGGCGGGAGGGGGAGTGGCAGAATGAGAGTGTTTTCAAATTTCTTGTACACGTATATTTTTCTTTTACAGATTGATAAGATTATCAGCCTGTTAGGCACTCCAACGACCAAGATTTGGCCTGAATTAGAGTCGATGCCATTACTGGAGAATTTTACATTGAAGACGCAACCCTTCAACAATGTTAAAGTGAGTAAATTGTTTACTTCTGCTTTACAGATCAACGTTATTGCTTTCTTAGGTAGTATTCGAATCGGCTTCAGTGACAGCGATTGATCTGCTTAATGCTTTGTTTATGTACGATCCCAAGAAGCGTATTAGTGCAGCGGATGCGCTAGCACATCCATTCTTTACGGTATGTCATTTGCTCTTCATTATCTTATTGATAGCATGCATTTCAGGAACGTCCATTACCTTGTGATCCTGTTCTAATACCCTCTCTACCTCCTAGCTACACAAAAAAGCGAAAAAGGGACGAATCGCCTCAGAGATGAGGTCGTTGACCATTGCGGGTGTTGATATGCAGATAAAGGTCTCTTTTGTTTGTTGTTTGCATGCTTACTGATTTGAATTGTATTACAAATATTTAAGAAATTTTATTACAACAGGGAAAACAGGTAGTGAAAATGCGCTTACGGCAATAGAAAAGGCGCCACTGAAGTAGCGTTAGTCTTTTTTTGGATGACGTAAGCGTTCCAGGATGGCCTGAAACAATATTTTAGTATTCCACTAATTCTCATCACTTTGATCACTTCGTAATAAAAACCTGTCCAATCTTGACTGGATTGTTATTTTTTTTTTATTATAAGCAGTTAAACTTAGAAAATATAAGCCGCCGTCATATTCTTCTACTGTTTTCACCTTGTAAGACATCAACAATACCGTAATCCTACAGTATTGCGTTTGGGTCTGTTCTGGTTTTATGTTGAAAAAAAAAAGAACAAAGAAGCGAAGTTCACATAAGATTTCTTGATTAGACACTAAAATTTAACTCACAACATTATTTGTCCCAAAACTGCTTCATCCTCCTTTGCTACGTAGTACACATTCTCTTGTATTTGTGTCAGATATCCAAGGAACCATCCATGCATAGACAAAGTATCTGTCAGTAGCGCTGCCCCACAAACTCGAGATGCAACATATAAATCCAGCATTTGGGAAAAATCTGCCACATGCACCTAGAGAAATTCTTTGATTGGCCATTTTGGCATTTTTGCACCATGTACAGTACGCTACCGTAACCTCGGCATGGGGCAGGCAAAGCCCAGTAAAGTGCTTTGTTTCTTTGTCCAGGGTAGAGAGAAATACCTTGAAGACAACTCATCGCCCTCAATATACCTGGGATTCGCGCAGGTACGGTAGCATACTGTAGCGGTGTAAAACGGCTTACCACCGCGAGAATAAGTGCCACTTACATTCATATGCCAACCAAATCTGGATCGTAAGGAAGTAATAAGTTTCGGAGGGAAGTTCTGGTCAGAGAAAATGTAGAGATCGAAGAAATTCTAAATAAATTATTTCTATTCTTTTAATCTGTGGGAAAGTAAGTTGATCATAGATTAACCTTTTCCATTGTAAGCACAGCAGCAGCCTTTGAAATTTCTATCTCTAATTCGGTTCGATTCTTTGCCCGAGTAAGTGCTCCACTTCCCAAATGTATACAAAGTGCAGCAGGGCCTAATTTTCTGCAAAAATTGATTTTGAGTAGCTGGAAAAGAACAAGTATGGAATGTTCAGTAACTTACGATTTCATTTCGTCTAGTAAATCCTGAGCATAGTTTTTGAATTCCTGTGAGAACTCTAGAAGACGTAAGGTTTTATCCCTGTTAAAATCGACAAATAAGTCAGTGTTGAGACTATATCCATGGTTGAGGACTAGGCATTCATCGTTGTTGGTTGAGATTCTGAAAGAAAAATCCAGTTCTCTAATATCTACTTTCATGGCTCAATTATACTACCTTTTCAAACTTTTATCTGCTTCAGAAAACATTGGCACATATCGTTTTCTTATTTTAACCTAAATTTTTGCTTTCCATTCTTTCTTCATCGTGGATGTCTAAGTGTAATATTTTGTTAAATCATATGGAAAATACCGTTTTTCGCAAAATATTCAGTTCCATTGTGGGAAAGATCGTAGCCAGTTTGGCTAAGCTGGCCTCTGAATATTCGTCTCTTTCTTCATCCTCAAGAACATGGAAATCTGCTTTCAAAGACCTTGCTAAGCTAAGACCTGCGCAAAGTTCGAAAAGCTGAAAAATATTACATATTTATAGTTCGAATACCCTGAGTTGCCACAGAAAATTCCCACCTGTTGGCTCTCGTCCAAATGATGCAATGGAAAACTTATGCATTTCCTTGGTGTTAAATATAGAATAAACATATATACAACAACAAGAAAAATCATTAAAGTGATTAGGAGTTTGGACAATAATGCGCATCCTACAATGCGAGATCATTCGATGGAAAAATTGATTAAAGGAATTTCAATACCACATTGAGCCTTGCTCGGAGCATCTTTAACTGATCTGATAGTATTTTGAAGACTCGGGAATCCAGTGGACTTCAATCTTATCGGCACGGGTAACCTCATGTACGAGTTTTCGCTGAAAATGTAAAGCGCATTGTGGCGAGTGAATCTAGTATATGCATATTTGTTTGATTATTATATCAATTCTTATGTCTACTTTGCGACAAATTTTCTTTGTTTGATTCAGTGGTTATTTAATGATTTGAATAGAAAAAATTTGACATATCTTTGTATTTTGAACATAAAATTCAAATCCTTGTTGAGGTGCCGAAATTTCATCACCAAATATACTTATGTAGGTGGTGATTTTGAAATTTTGAGCAATGCGCATTTTCAAGCTTATTTTTTTACGAAAGTATAGTATATGTAGTAAGTTAGAAACTCAGACCTGTTGTCCATTTGAAAATTAGATTTTCTACAGCAGCTAGAGTTGAATGGTAAATTTTGACGCAGTGAGAAAGTCGAATCAAAAGCCTGCAAGGTGCTTGGAAAAGCTGACAAATCAAAGGAGAATAAAAATAGATTTTACAGTTTTGACGATATTTCAGGTTCAGGATTGCGCAGTGCGTCAAAATTATTGATGTCAACTGTCCAGCAATGCAACGATAACATCAGCGAGAGCTAAATCTTTCGCAAAATAAAGGAATTTTTGCGAACCATTTTACATGCACTTTTGCATGTTCTTTACTACGCAGTAAGAGCCGAATAACACTTGCCAGAATTTTTTCGATTATCAAAGTTGCCTTTTGGACGAAAGCCGCCTGTAGGAGGTGTGCATGAATTGAAATTGAAAATCTTTAGAAAATTTGAAATTTAAAATGCGACTCCGATAATGCGAATCTTATATATAAAGCTGAATGTCTGTTTGTATGTATGTATGTATGTATGTCTGTATGTCTGTCTGTGTGTACGTATGTTCCGAATAGAAAATTCTATTTCTGAACCGATCCGGACCAAACTTGGCACACATACACTTCGGGCCCCGGCGCGTGTCATAGGCTACTTTTCGTCATCGATCGATATCGATTTTATCGATTTTTATCGATTTTTTTGCTGAGTTCACCTACGGGGCTGGGAGTTGGCACAGGGGGGTAATCGAGCATGGGGATTCCGAATACAATATTGGTTTTCAGGATTATCGATTACTTTTATCGATTTTATCGATTTTTTGCAAAGTTTGAGCTACGGGGCTGGGAGTTCGCACAGGGGGGTAATCGAGCATGGGGATTCCGAATACAATATTGGTTTTCAGGATTATTGATTACTTTTACCGATTTTATCGATTTTTTTGCAAAGTTTGAGCTAGGGGGCTGGGAGTTGGCACAGGGGGGTAATCGAGCATGCTGATCATCCCCAAGGGGGGTGATCAGCATGCTCGATTACACCCCTGTGCCAAATTCCAGCCCCCTAGCTCAAATTTTCAAAAAATCGATAAAATCGATAAAAGTAATGGACGATCTTGAAAACTAACATTGTATTCGTAATCTGCATGCTCGATTATCCCCGCGAACTCCCAGCCCCTCAGGTCAAACTTTACAAAAAATCGATAAAATCGATAAAAGTAATGGACGATCCTGAAAACTAATATTGTGTTCGTAATCAGCATGCTCGATTACCCCCCTGTGCCAACTCCCAGCCCCGTAGGTGAACTCAGCAAAAAAATCGATAAAAATCGGTAAAATCGACATCGATCGATAACGAAAAGTGGACTGTGACACCCGCCGGGGCCCGAAGTGTATGTGTGCCAAGTTTGGTCCGGATACGGCGGAGCCGGGTAAGCCAGCTAGTATTTTATAAAATTTTTATTAAGAAAACCGATGTGCTCTGACATAAAAACAGTTTGGAACTGATCTAGGAAATACTGATTCGATGAAATTGTACGTAAATAAGTAAACAAGTAATCCAGAACAAACTGCAGAAATGTAGGTTGACAAAATGTTTGATGTAAATGCTACACAGTTCTTTCTTGAGTAAGCAAACAGATGCAGAAATAACTCACATCTAATGGGTTAGCAAAAAGTGAAAATTGTGATGATATGCTGTACGTCCATTGATGATGTTCACGGTTGTAAGCGCTTTTCGAACAAAAAAAAAACGGGCATATAATGGGTCAGTTTATTCGTCATTGATTGCTATACTTCAAATATTGAATTATGAAATGACTATGATTTCTGAATTTTTTACATGACAATTCTCTGAATCGAGTGGTCTAGGAACTATTGCTATTTTGATTTTTGTCGTCAGTTTCTTACAGATACTCAGATGCTACGATAGATATGAGCAACGACCGACACCGAGTGTAGAGGATTGACTTTTTGTAATTTTTCAAATATGCCCTTCACATTTTTTGGGCTTACAATCCTTAAGCACTGGAGAAAAGGGCTGGTAACCTAATTTGAAGTTTTGAAATTTTTTGAAATTGATTTGATTGACAGGTAAAAGCTCATTTTCTCATCTTTATAACTGCAGGTTTATAATTGTATTTTTTTTTCGAGACTTTTGCTAGTCTTGGGAACGCACACTTTCCTTTTATTTATTTATTTATTTATTTATTTAATACGCACAAGGCGCGCCCATACAACAGAAGAACGAAGCATCACACCAAACAACCAACAACAAAAAACATAAAACAAAAAGGCAAACTCCCCACTGAATCAGTTCAAGTCCAGTCCGCAAAATCTTTCTGGGAATGGAAAGGGAGTGAGCTTGTTTAGACATATATGAAGTCATCACAGGTATAGAGGTTCAATGGAGTCTGTCTCATGCCCCCTGCTCTTAGCAAAAAATGCTCTTACTCATCATAAGCAATTGTATATGTTGGAAGCAGGTGTATTGGTAGTAATATTGATAAAACCCGCCCAACCAAACTTTTCCTCCTCTCCTACTTTTTGATCTGCCAGTCTGTATCAACGAAGAAAGAAATTCTTCAAAGTGAGTATCAGATAGGCTCTATTTTGACATCTATCAGTTTTTCCCGAAACGAGGGTTACTCATTGTTGTTTGAAACTGTAAGAACAGCCCAGAAAAAAATCTGGGAAAATTGCCAACATCTTTCGTCCAGCTCAGTGTTAGTTTCAAATGCTGATCCATTAGCAGACAGAAACGCTCTTATCAGTCGCTAGACAGAGCACGGACCTATGGATTGTTATTCGAGTGCCTTAGGTAGTCTACTATTTCCCCGTCGCGTGTTCTTTCAGGAGCACTTTTTAGGAAAAAATGCGTGGCCCTCTAGAATCTCTCCTTCTGCAACTTGCTATGATCTCTGCCGTACTGGGAATCGATGTGACAATCAGCATCGGTACGATCAGAGGCTATCAGCTGAAAGGGTCGTCTGGCAAGCTCGTTAATGTTTTTAAGGTATGTGACTTTGAACTCTACATAGAATAATAGAAGTGATAATGAAAATTCCCTTTTCAACTATAATAGTATGCAATTTTATCCTAACCCCGGTTGTTCCTTTTTTTAAACGGAGTATAGGAAAGGAAAATTGTACCAAACAAAATTATAGCAATAGAATAGAATTTTTGACGCTAAAATTTCACGAGCCGATCAATATTTTTGAAGGGAAAGGCTTGATGTAGGTAATACTTTATCCTCAAATGTATGACCGACAAGCCTGTAGGTGACGATCGAGCCTAATTCTTAATTATTTTCTCTTCTGGAATTTTTTGAGTTGTTATGTATAACTGTTGTTTTTTTGTAAGTTTAAAATATTCCAGCACATCCCATATGCAGCTCCACCTTTAGGAGAGCTACGTTTTAAGAAGCCAATACCGCCTAAGAAATGGGAAGGTGTCAGGGATGGCACAGGTGAATAAGTTTATATGATTATCCTTGATGTGAGATAGTTTTGTGATGGAATTTTCAGATTATGGACCAGCTTGCATGTCTAATTCATCGTTTAGTAGAAGCCCGCAAAAGTGGGTGCATGAAGATTGCTTGCATGTGAATATTTTTGCTGGAGCTGATTGCTTGGTAAGATAGTTTCGATTCCTCTAGTGATAGTTATCTTGAATAATAGGGTATCCCATAATTTTTTTTTGTCGTTTTTACCCTACTGGGGCACCTTCAAAGTTTACAAATACTCGTACATCTGTATTTGTGAGCTATATGACCACGTGCATGGGAGGAGCTCAGGATGTCTAGGGCGAAGTTTGCTATTTTACCCCATTCATTTTTTAATTTCTAGCCTTGGAACAAATACGGAAGTAGTATATTTGAATGCGCGATGTCCAATCATACGCTAGGATAAATGGGGGATTTTTAAGAAATTTTAGGGCGAAGTTACGATTTTCAAAGAGAAGGTTTGTTTTCGACTGCTATCAGATTTCAGCTCAAAACTTCCGGTGAAAAACGATTTGGGCTGATTCTTCATAGCCATCTTGTAGAGCTTGCTTTGCCCTGTCGAATGATTACTCAAGCCACATCAATTGTAGATAAAATACAAAGAGACGACGGTTATGGTAAAAACGGTAAAAAAAAAATAGGGGACACCCTAATAGTTATTCACTAATATGATCGGTTCTGAGTCTACTCTTCTTCTCTCCTTTTCCCAATCTCTTCAAGCCAAATCATAGTTTTTTTCCTGTAGTTGCTTCCACGTCCTGTACAATAATTCTTGAGAAGATTTCCATTATTCCGGACAACTTATGTAAAATCTGGGAGGGGGAGGTCTTACATACTCTCAGCTGTTGAAATTTCTCCAACGAAACAAATGAATTCTATAAAATTTGTACATTTTCTCTTACTTGCATGTAAAATAGTAGCATTTATTGCCTGCTACAAAAGCAGTATTAATAACATTATTGGATCGTATATGAGACGAACTGAGACTTTCAATTTTTGTTTTTGTTTACTAGAAAATATATTCTGGACTTTGCCTCAGTATTTTATGTGCCCTCCACAAATATTGCCATCTTGCTTCCAAGTAATTTTTTCATGACATAAATATAAGCCGAGATGATGCTGATCATTTCACATTTTTAGAAAAAGGCTTGTTCTGTGATGTTTTATATCCATGGAGGTGATTTCAATTACGATTCAGCTGTGATGTTCAGGGATGAACCGCTTGTCAACAATTTTGCTGCAAATGGTGAGAAACACAGCTTTCACTATATAATCTGAAAAATTATATTTTTTCGGCAGATATTGTCCTAGTCATTCCTGGATTTCGACTTGGCTTCTTCGGTCTCCTAACTTTTGATTCAGACGAGGTTGTTCCAAGAAACATTGCTGCTTATGGTGGGAGAGATTTTTACAACTGTTAAGAAAAGAAAAATAACAAAAATGATGAATTCTATAGATCTCATTGCCGCTCTATATTTTGTCAAGAATGAAATCAAACATTTTGGTGGAAACGATATTACATTGTTTGGACATTCTGAGGGAGCTACAGCATCTGCACAATTTGCTTTATCCAAAACCATTGATCCGGATGTGAAGTGAGTTCGTACTCTAGAAAATCTTGCAGAATAGCATTTTTACATTTTCTAATTATAAAAAGTTATTATGATGAGAAATTTTGACCTTAATAGGTTCCCTCAAATACTAGACCTCTTTTTTCACTTCAAATTTGTTTTTTGTTTTTTTTCATCTGTACAAGCTTTTTAGGCTCTTCCAGAAGGCTGTAATGATGTCTATGCATTATGCATTCCAGAATTTGAGCCATGCAGAAGATGTGACTATGGAAATGGCTTACCGAGCAAAGGTCGGTTGACATCGTAGTGACTGACTACGAGAAATATGCAATATAGACGTCTAATACTGCAAAAAATGTTTGTTGTGCAATCACACTCTTCAACAAAAAGCAAAACACTTCGTGCAGTGAAATAGCGATGCAAAAAGTGGTGGGAGCCACAACTTATAGCTGTTTATGGCTGTATATGTCTGCGTATCTTTAGTCCACGTTATTTCTCAGCGCCGCAGAAGCAGACGCGACTGACGCGTTGTCTGCGACAATGACACATCTATCTAATCAGTTTTGATGCGCTTGTATGTCTACTTTTTACTCATTAAAAATTTGACCGAGCTAGAGAAAAAAGTTGTTTACTGTCTAAATCTCATTTTTCGTTTGGGCTATCATCTTTTTGTATTTTCTTTTGCAGTGTTCGCCATCGAGAGCCAAAAGTCAATCTTCTGCGTTTGTTGAAAGAGTAGTGAAATGTCTAAAGAATTTGGATAGCATGGAAATATTGAGGTAAAAAATTTTTATAAAAGGAAGAAGCCATTATATACAATGTGCAACAAAAACTAATTCTCAATTTAAAATTTCAACAAAAGTTTTTTCCGTTCTAGGATCCAAAGAGAGATGGAAGACGAAAGTGTAAGGCTCAAACCTGAATTGCTCGTAATGACTGCTCCACTTTTTGGCGCAGGGAATCAGCAAGAGTTCCTCGCTGATCCTCCTCCACGTACAATAGTCGTCGGAAGTACACTGAGGGAGATGGACTTTATGTATAATTTCTACGAGATTGGAGACATTGTAAAGCTTTTGGGACTAAGAAATCGGAAGGAGATCCAGGAAAAAGTCCGGGAGGATGCAGTGGCAAATAAATGGCGTTAGTGAAAAATATTTAAGAAATTTGTGAGAAAAATTACAGTTTTTTGTTTCAGCTGGCGATCACTCAGTCTCTACCCAAGCAATAATCATGTCGACATATGTTATAGCACATAAGTTGCGAGAAGCTGGTGGCAGGGTACCAGGGGGTAAAAAATTTGAGATTTTTCAGTAAGTGGTTTTTTATAGGCTTACATCTACTCCTATGCAAATCCACGCCATTCATTCCATACTTCTGATCTCGCCTACATTATGGGAGTGCATCCATTTGAACTCGACCCGAATGAAGCAGTGTTAGCTGTGCTATATCCCAAATTCTTTGTGGATTTCATGAAAACAGGGCAACCTCGACCAGGTTTCTCATTTTCTTACCCAGAAAATTCGCAGAAAATTTTTTTTTGACAAGCATATAGTTCTTGAATTTGTATGCGACTTTAGTTGATTTGTGCTAAAATTTAACAACAAGAAAAATAATATAACAGGGGCGTAACAATACCCAAGTATTGCACTCAAACTTGTATTTTATGTTTCGAACTAATACTGAAAAAAAGCTTGCCTACGCGCCTGGATGGCAGTAGCAGCTATCGGCGACAGGGCAACGTGCCGCCATAGCTCAGTCGGTTAGAGCGTGGGTCTAATAAGCCCAAGGTCGCAGGTTCGACCCCTGCTGGCGGCAAACTCTTTTGCATTTCTTGTAATGATTTGAACTGCCAGTCTAAGCAATATATCGGTGTTTTTTGAATGTCAAACTTTGAAATTTGTCACTTCTATATAGTTAGACTCGAAAGCAGCTAGAATACTGAGCTGTAGTGAGAAAAGTTACTTTCCTGCGTACCTAAAAGTAATCTTTGTTCACCAAACTATCTCAGTTTCTCCTCGAGTTGAGCTAAACTAATCTGCAATTTTAGACTGGATTCCCCTCCAGGCTGATCTTGACAATTATATGCACATTAATGTAAATTTGGCTGATGGCACTATGCCAGAAATGCGCAATCATTACGAAGCTGAAGTCATAAACTACTGGAAAGAAATGACGAAGTACGACGAAGAGATTGTACGCAGAAAAAATACAGTAAGGTATTTCTGTCCTGAGAAAGCAGAATAGGTTTCTTTTCTTTCAGATCCCTGATTGGCGAGCTGCGATTGTCACAACTAGTGCTGATACTGCTAATGGTGACAAGTCTCTATTTACTTATTTGTTGCTACCCTTGTTCGCAATAATTCTGACAGTACTCTTGGTGCGATGTGTCGTTTATTGTCGAATGGAGCAACAAATCAACCATCGAAGCGAAATCACGCCACTTATACCATGAGAAAATATTTTTACACGCAATAATACGCAATATATACGCAAATCGGTTTTTGAATCATATTCTCCAGTCAGAATTGCTGGTTCGAAATCCAAGAGCAAATGTACATAGCTTGTTCATAGCGTTTATGAATATAATTTGTTGCTCTTACTGTAATGTTTGTAAACAATTGAGCGACTACATTCTTTTTATAATAAATGTGCAGTTTGTAACGACGCTTCTGTCCCATTATGCGTTTGCACAAGTTCTGTCCTATGATCCCTGAAGTTTGAACTTTCTTTCTTAAGCCCAACTACTGTTGATGTATTGGTTCTACTGACTTCTTTGAACTCTAGAACTTATTTAGATCAGAATAGATTGTCTCTGTTAAATCTACAAGACCTAAAAGGGTGGGAGAGACGGGAGAGGGGGGGGGGGGGGGGCGAATACATCAACCTATATACATTTCCTCAGGAGTTTATGCCTCATGTTGATTGTATTTTTTTCTTCGGGCCCTTGAAGAAGTTTCTGTACTTCTTTAATGTACAACCTTTGTTTCAACTAGATCGGCTGCTGGAAGGCGGTCCTTCATGACCTAGAAGGCGACTGCTCGTGTCCGCGACACATTCTGCGCCTCCCTCGCGCACATGCTCTCATTTCTACCCTTTAGGCCACGGAGCCCCGCCTTCCAGCCGCCAGTCTGGTTGAAGCAAAGGGTATGTAGGTCTCGCGCACGTCATGCACAGGGTTGAGCAAGAGGTCAGGCACAAGTCTTTCCAAAACGACCCCCCCCCCCCAGTGAAAGCCCCTAAACGACCCCTCTGCTTCACCTCCAGGACCTCAGGCTGTGATAATTCGAAGAGATCAGCCGTTTTTGGGAGTTCTTGTTTTTTGGAGGTCTGTAGGTCGACTTTCTGCGATTGCACAGCACACGCAACTTGACGGCAAGTTTTGGATTTTGGATAGCCCTACTTTTAGAGCTATAATTCCCACAGGGGTGTATTGTTTGGCTCCAAATTTGCAGTATTGCAAGAAGAGGCTTTGAGTTCAATACTCATAGCAGAAATGGAGCGATTTTTAGATTTTGAAAACAAGTTAATCGGGTCAGGCGCAACCCCTCAAAAGCTCAGGCGGCCTGACCTTTTGTGGGGTTGCGCCTGACCCGATTAACTCTATCATTGAAGAAGCTTTTTTATTCAAGTTTTATGTGAATCGCTAGCACAACCCTCGAAGATTCCACAGTAAGTGTTTGGACTTGATTCGACTTGTTTCGGCCTTGTGGTAATCCGTGGAGTTAAAGCAGTCATGGCGAAAAACGCGCCGGTCGGAATTTTGGCATTATTTCTTACTTCACTATTTGCAAGCGATACAAAGCGCGATTCTTAGCCTAGACTAGTGGGGAACAATACTTTGTTACGAGTACAAAAAAATTGACTTTTCTCACTTTTGAAAACGAGTTAATCATGTTTGAAAATCACGCTTTTTAGTCGTTGAGAAACACTAGATAATGCAGTAAATAATGGTTTGTAGGGCTCATAGAGGTAATTTGACGTGCTCGGAAATGATACCCATTTCACACAGCAAGCTTCCTTGATGAATTTATAATATGTCAAGGTAGAAGATTTGAGTTTTGGCCGAAACTTCGATTGTGAAATCAATCAATATGCTGTTTAAACCGTTCATTCCTTCAGTACTGGTGAGGTCGCGATATCCACTAAACTAGCGCTTTTCTTCTTCACCTTAATCGTAGTATCTCCTCAATCGAACGAATTCGATTCCTAATCACGACCCCCCCCCCCCTCTGTCTTACCCCAGTACGACCCCCCAGGTCGGGCGCGCCTGACCCCACGCTCAACCCTGGTCATGCAACGCACCTTCTTCAATCTCTTCACGTGTTTTGACCTGTCAGAGCATAGTCTGGGAGATCGAATATAAATAACTAAGAGGATTCAACACCCATTTTGTTGACTGATTGATTTTAGATTTGTGAATTTATAACAGTAAATGATTTCTGTTCATGAATAATCAATTTAGCCATAGAATCCCATCAAAATTGACTTTCTGTATGTAATTTGTTTGAAATTAGCGCCATATTATGCCTCAACGTTACATCAAATAAGATTTTTCGACTCCGCTCCTTCCGCTCCCCCTCTCCGCCTCCACTGCAGAAAATAGTTTTCGCTACTGGGATTGCTACAGATTTGCAGTGACAAATTTTTCTGTGTTTACTACCTAAAAACTACATTCTATTTTTAGTGGTACATGAAACTAAATACATTGGACTTCGTTCACTTCAGTCATAACGCAATGTGACAGGAACTTGCAAATTAGTACATCTTGTAAACATGCTTCTAAAACAATTTGCGTGATTTTAAATTGATGTGAAATGTTCGGAGAAAATTATCCTGCAAGTGTAGTGTATATCCACACACGTGATCTTGGCAGGTTGTTTATTCAGATAGTTTATTCTTGGGTGTGTTTATTGAACAAAAAGTGTGCAATATGGAGTAAGACTGCTAATCGGGAAATTCAATCAGATTTACTGACGTCCTTGTGCATTGTGTCTATCTATTGATCTTTCAATCGTTCTTTTCAAGGTTTGCAGTGGATTCTTTATCCGTTTGTGGTGAAACCGGTTCAAATCGTACAAACTCCTTGCCTAATTTTCTTTGTTTATTAGTTTTTTTCTCTATAACATCTTGAAAATGTGAGTGATAAGAGCAATTCAAAATGTATCAAATTTGACCCCTGAAAGTAAATCGAATAATTTGTCTTATGAAAAACTTGTGGATTTCAGTCTTTATGTTAAGGCTGCTACGTCCATAAGCGTTTCCGATGCAAAATTCTTATCTCAAATCTTATTTTTTACCTATTTTTTTTCTTTCTATAAACGAGCAATCAAAGGAGAGGAATCACTATGCAGGTTCTTTGGTCCTTCAACACTATTCCAAAAAGTTTTTATGCATTTAGAGGCCATTAAGCTCTCAGCACAGGAAATTTATTTACTGCAAAAAGGGCAAAAATTTGAACAGCTGCTGCACATGTGATTTGGCGCACTACAAGAAGTGAGTGGAACAACAACACTCGGCGGTCTTCCCACCCCATTTTCAGTTATTTTTTGGAATATCGATTGATAAAAAAACATCTGTTAACATTGTAAGTCCAAGAAGAATTTTGAGAGTGTTGTTTTTGTGAAAAAAAAAACATTCTTAGAACGATCTTCAGTATGCAAATTTGTTTAATACTTCGACCTTATTCTTGACAAATAGAATCTTGTTCACTCAATCGAGACTAATAATAACCAAGACTTTCATACGACCCTTTTCTTTGTTCAAGTTAACTATTGACCTAATGACTTTGATATGATCTACAAGTTGTACAAGAAATTATCTCTATAGTTGTTTCAAAATCTTTTTGATATTGTAGCCTAGAGAGAAAAATTGTGCACTTTTTTAACGGCTAAAATGTGCAAAAACATTACTTCAAACTGTGGTTTCGTTACTCACCCGTGGTCGAATGTAATGACGAAAATTTATGAATTTCAAGTTTTTTTAGTCAAGATTTCGGTTTTGTCACTTGCAAAATCTCTAGTATGCATTGAAATAGAACGCATAGGTTACAAAAGATGGGTACTGATACAAAATAAAACGTCTTTCTAAACATTTTTAGAGTGATTTTTCTGGAGTTTTTCGGTGCGAGACTTATGGACCAACCTAGTAAACCTAGGATTAAATTCATTATTTTTGGGTCTGGATCCTTTTTCCCATTTAGTTAGAAATCCCGGGAAAGACTTGTATGCATAGTTTCATGTAAACTACGTAAAGTTGTGGATATTCTAATCTTTTATTCTTTTTTAGGGACATCTGAAAGTAAGTAACAGAATTACAGTGTTTTTTAACCTGATATCATTAACCAAAGGTTTTCATGACTACCTCAACAATTAGAAATTTTGAATTCTATCCGAGATATACTTACCACCAAATACTTAAAAATAATAGAGAGTTTCGAGGTCTGTAAATACTGTTATTATTTTTAAGGGTAAAACGAGATGGAGTTTGTTGGTTTTCTACTGACAAGGGAAAGTTCCCAAGTCAGCTCGGCCAACCCGGATGAATCATATATCGCCGTAACAGGCTTGAAACACTGATTCCAAATATTCTTTCTTTTTCTGCGGAACAACTCTCCGAGGGAAGTTATGAGCGTCTAAATATCTAAATTTGTCATTTTCAAAGTGGCTTGAAATCAGCTGAAAGCTGTAGAACAACATCTAGCGGAATTTCATAATCTGCGTTCCGCCCTTGTAATCAATATACTTGATACGAAACTGCTAAATTACTTTCATGTATTATAGTACAGGTTTCGCCGATTTTAGGCCACTTAAAACATGACAAATTTAGACATTTAAACGCTCATAACTCCTCTCGGAGAGTCGCTCCGCAAAAAAGGAAAGCAGATTTGGAATCAGAGTTTCAAGCCCGTTACGGTGATATATGACTCTTCCGGGTTGGGTGAGCTGATTTGGGAACTCTCCCTAGTGAGAAAAATCCACCATTATCATCAGTAAAAATTATCATATTCAGTTTTTTACTCATTTCCAAAGTATCGACTTCTTGTACTAAAGGTCATTCCGACTTGTGGTTATTTTACAATTCCATTTCTTATCAGCGAAGCTAGTAGTGTCCAAGATAAAGATCACTCACCGCCTGGCCCATTGATCACGAGCTCTTATCAGGCGTAGTAACAGGCGATAGCACGACCAAATCGGTTGTTTTCCGAAAATGCTACACTTGGGGGGAGGGGGGTAACCCCCAGCACCTCTTTCGTTGAGCATCCGTGAGCAAACATTCAAATAAGATTATCTCTTCATCGTTTCTCGTTTTGAGAGTGTCTGAGCCTCTACTTATGGTCTCGTATCACGAATTCTCGTATTTAGGTGATTGGACCACTCATCTAGTCAGGAAATGAGCAACATATTCAAATTTTTATTATTTACTACACTAGCTCTAATCTCAACAGCACAAAGAGTCAATGTGACGATCAGTACCGGCACGATCAGCGGCCTTCAAGTGAAAGCAAAGTCTGGTAAACTTGTCAATATTTTCAAGGTGAGTCTGGTATTTATCATTCTTCAAATATTATACGTCATTGCCCACATGTTATTTGTCATTGTCCAAATAACGTCATTTGCACTTTATGCTGTCAAGAATTCTTTTTTGGTGGGGATCTATGGGGACTGTCAGATTATTTTCTGAAGGGACCAAGAAAATCATGCGTACTGCACACCACGCGCGTTACTTTACGTCTTGTAAGGTCGAAGCTTGCTCCTTTACAATAACTTTTCCTAATTTTCTTGTCTCTTATGACTAGTATATATTCATTAGAGTAGTGCACATTGCTACATTTGTTAAACCAGCGCTTCACTTATTACTAGTAAATGCCGTCGGCTGCCGCGCATGCTCTGCAGAATCATTTATCAAGTTTCAAATGACTCGAGTATAGATAAATTAGCATTTTTTAGAGTCTTGATAGCACGAAATTCCTCTTTATTTCAGCCCTTCACTTTATCCTCTTATAGTTGTACACTATAATAATCGAATCTGATCTTGCAGTAAGTGATCAAACACTATGTCTAAAATTTTTCTATGGTAATTCTTATATGGAAAATTTACCTACCTACCTCCGTCCTATTTGCAAAATATTAGGTTGTTCCGAAAGCTCGCTCGCACCAAATCTAAAAAATCATAACTTCTGATTTTTCCAACCAATTGGACCGATTTTTATTTTTGTATGAAAGAGTAAATCATTCTCTTTATAACGATATCTTAATACTTACTAGTGATCATCTGTTGCATAGATAGGAGCGGTAAAAGAAAATTAGACAAAATTCGAATTTTCTGTGTAGGCTCATAAAAAATCTAAAAGTTACAATAAGAATCCGAGCAGTTGGTATCATAGTTCTACAGTGCTGGACATAATTATATAGCCACCCTAGAAATCGTCGTAATTTTCGTTCTTGTCAATGAATCTGTCTGAAATTTTGCTGTATTGTGCGCATGTCAATCTACCATGACTCCTCAAAACGGCTTCCAGTCTTGTTCAGTTTGAACGGAGAAAAACGTAAAAATTCGAAAAGCCCTCTTTGAAAGCTGGACAAAATTATATAGCCACCTGGTATTTCTAATCACTATCGCATTCGTTGGCTCTCAAATTTTTTTGTACAATAATACCCCAAAATATGAAACATTTGCAACACCCACGGCCTGTCATCCTACTCAAATAGAAGTGATCACTGCATTTTTTGCTTTTAAAAGCATCAAAAACCAATCTGCTTCAAACAGCTGGTTTGAAGAGTTTTCAAGGTCTTGTTCATTTCAAGTGATAATCATGGAATCTACTCTGACCCTTCTGGATAGGTAAAGAGCGCTTTCGTAAACTCTGCGTAATCGCTGATTTTGACGGACAGACTCCAACCTCACCATAGGGTTGACGCACTTTTGCACCACAAAACTCGATTTTCAAGCAACAGAAAATACTGTAATGTGTAGCCATTACGACAGCCATACAACAGTGAACTCGGTGCATGTCTGGGAAATTCCGGGATTGAGCACTCTGGTTCAGCCGCAGTTGACATCCACTGGTTGAGTGGAGCACCCTGCACAATCAAAGCCAACTCAGATCACGAGATAAAACCGGAGACGCTTAAAACTTCAAAATCTCAGCTAATCTCATTCATCGGATGTAGTATGAGGCGAAACACAGAGGGAAGTAAGGAGATCTAAGGTTATATCGAATCTTCTGCTCGCAGGGAATTTTCGTGGAAGGTATTTCAGGTCTAAATTGCTACCGCATCATTAGCGAAAATCTGAAAGTTGTTGCAAAAGCTGCATCCCCATGTATGCAGTGTAATAAATCAAGTACAGCACTTTGTGGACATTGCAAACTGTGTTTTGTGGTGCAAAAGTGCGTCAACCCTATGGTGAGGTTGGAGTCTGTCCGTCAGAATCAGCGATTACGTAGAGTTTACGAAAGCGTTCTTCACCTCATCTATCCAGAAGGATCAGTAGATTTCATGATTATTATTTGAAATGAACAAGAACTTGAAAACTCTTCAAACCAGTTGTTTGTTGAAGCAAACTCATTTTTGGTGCTTTTGAAAGCAAAAAAATGCAGTGATCGCTTCTACTTGAGTAGGATGACAGGCCGCGGGTGTTGCAAATGTTTCATATTTTGGGTATTAATGTACAAAAAAATTTGAGAGTCAACGAATGCGATAGTGATTAGAAAAACCAGGTGGCTATATAATTTTGTCCAGCTTTCAAAGAGGGCTTTTTCGAATTTTTACGTTTTTCTCCGTTCAAACTCAACAAGACTGGAAGCCGTTTTGAGGAGTCATGGTAGGTTGACATGCGCACAATACAGCAAAGTTTCAGACAGATTCATTGACAAGAACGAAAATTACTATGATTTCTAGGGTGGCTATATAATTATGTCCACCACTGTATTACCCGTTTTTTTAACTGTGCAAAGCTTGTGCTGATTGAACTAAAGATAACGCGCCGGAATAGCAAGGTCACATTCAAATTGAGTTGATGCATGCCATCGTGTCTATCACTCTCTTTGTGCTCATGTTTGCCATCCTCTACGCTGCATCTCTTACATTTTGTTAAATTGGCTAACTCTCATAATTGCTTCTGACTCTTTACCACTCTTTAGTAATCATGTTTATGAATACCTTTTGAAGCTTTTTTGGGAACTACTGATGATGGAGCACCAAGAAAGCTACACTACCGGTCTAGTTCTTAGCCCCGAAACCGGTCGTGTAAAAAACAGTAGTTACCTTTCGGATATTTTGGAATTCTTGGAATGTTCTTTCTCATTGTGGACTTATCTCTTTGTTTAAGTTAAATTGAGGCGTGGCCATCGGTTCCAAGGCGTTGAAACCATCTTTCCTCAAAATACGCAATATCAGCGTTTTGTTTCAAACTAGCCTAGAACAATTTTTTCCCACAGAATAACCTAATCCCTCAATCGTAAATGATAAAAATCTTTTCTGTCATAATCTTAAAATTTTACGATCTTATCAAATTTCACACTGATTGTGCCCTTTGAAGTCTCATCTTCACCAAAACTGACCACATTATAACTCTGAAGATTTTTTTCGAGTCTGTTATCCTTTGCTGTTTTTTTTTGCTGACTTTTCCTAAATGAATCTTTTTGTCAAGTTCTCTTGATCCCTCTTTCTGTAATAATTATCTCCATTCAGCATATTCCCTATGCAGCTCCACCTGTAGGAGATTTACGCTTTCAAAAAGCACAAGCACCCGAGAAGTGGGATGGCATAAGGGACGCTACAGGTATGTCCTTTTGGAGATTAGTCTACATTTCAGTGTGAGTTTTGTAGAATATGGACCCGCTTGTATTTCGAATTCGTCTATCACCAAAAGTCCGCAGAAATGGATTGATGAAGATTGTTTGCATGTGAATATCTTTGCTGGCGCCAATTGCATGGTGAGTTGAAAGCTTGAAAAGCGGAATTATTTGGATCATCCCCTCGTGAAAACATAGACATTACTGCGAAATTTTTTCTCCAGGAAAATCTATGCCCAGTAGCGTTTTATATCCATGGTGGTAGCTTCAATTATGACTCAGCTGTCATGTTCAAAGATGAGCTGCTTGTCAATAATTTTGGCGCAAATGGTAAGCACAATCTCATCCCTTCCTATTTATCAAATTTGCAATGTTCCATTCAGATGTCGTTCTGGTCATCCCTGGATTTCGGCTAGGTTTCTTTGGCCTGTTGACTTTTGGTTCAGACGATGTTGTTCCAAGAAATATCGGAGCTCATGGTGGGGAAAATATTTCAGGACTGGACATTACAGTAAATTTTTTCAGATATTCTTGCTGCTCTACACTTTGTCAAGAACGAGATTAAAAATTTTGGAGGAAATCCAGATGATATCACATTGTTTGGGCATTCTGGGGGTGCTACTACAGCTGCACAGTTTGCACTGTCGAAGCAGATCGATCCTGATCAAAAGTAATTCAGAAGCCTTTCGTTGTTACTATTGAAGTTGAAATTCTTAAATTTGTGATTTCTTCAACTTTTAGACTGTTCCAAAAATCTGTGATGATGTCTATGAGTTTTGGATTTACAGATGCAACTCATATGCAAAATCTTACGATGGAGCTGGCATACCGAGCAAAGGTAAGAAAGGCCGGAATTTTTTTTCTGAAGAGCGAAACTTCAACGTTTACAAAAAATGCTTTTGAAGATACGGTATTTTGGCGTTTTTCGTACATATGTAAGAAGTCTAAACCACCACTCCAATCAGCTTTGGTGTTTTTGGAGATAGAAAGCTTTGCGAATTTTATAGACAATTGTCATTACTTTCCGAAATCGGTAGTTGCTGAGAGAAAATAAACAAAAATTGATTTTATTCTGCATCGCACATTTCACCCCAATAATTTGTACCAAAGGCGATGTCGCTTTAGATGCTTTGCTACAAATACAAATTTTCGTACAAACTGTTATAATTCTCCGACTATCCAAAAATTCGAGGCAGCATTTTTTAGTTGTGGATATCTCAGTCAAACTAACCACCAGTTCCCTTTTTTAGTGTATTCCATCCAGAACAGCGGATTACAATTCGGTTGAATATGTGGAGCGCGTGGTCAAATGTCTCAGAAATTTGGACAGTATGGAAATATTGAGGTCAGTGCGGATTGATTTTACAACTTCTCGGTACTTCAATCAAAATAAATTAGGCAATTGTCCAAATTACCCTTGAGAAAGATGAAAATGAGCGGAACAATAAAAATTCAAAATCAGTATGACTGATCAAGATTGATAGAGCTGAAGAAAAAAGTGAATGAATAAGATGGTCACTGATTTGATGATTATGGAGGGAATTCGATATGCTAACGTTTAGAAAATTTCCACACATGAATGAAACGAAATTTGTGACGTCTAAGCCATGTTTTCTTGCATGTTACACCAAATGATTAGTGGACGGATTTTCATTTTAGGATACAAAGACAGATGGAAGATGAGGATGAATGGCAGAAACCCGAGTTTCTCATAATGACTGCTCCACTATTTGATGCCAAAGATCTGCAAGAGTTTCTTGCTAACCCTAAACCGCGTACGATAATGACTGGAACCACGCTAAGGGAGATGGATGATACGAACGATCCTGTTGAATACAATATAGTGGAGTTTTTGGGAATCAAAAATCGAAAGGAGATTCTGAAGCGATTTTACAACGATAGAGCTTCGAACAGGCTGTGTAGGTTTCTTGGAGTCGAAAGGTGGGAGAATTTTCAAGCTTTTCTTGCAGCCTTTAATCACTCATCGTCAACTCAAGCGATGTTCCTATCATCGTATGTAATTGGACACAAAATAAGGGAAGCTGGAGGGAAGGTAAGCTACAGCCGTTTGGATTACTGTATCAGCGCAACTTCTTGTGCATTTTCACGTCATATATTTTTTGTGTGCTTTTACTGTAATAACACAAAAGCTGCTATTTATTCGTGAAAGTTCTATTCTGCAGTGAAAATGATTACTTATTTCTCTATTTAGACATTCCTATACTCTTATGCAAATCCACGTCATCCGATGCATACCGATGATCTTTCCTACATTATGGGAGTCCATCAATTTGAACCTGATGAAAATGAGGCTGTACTGGCTGATCTATATCCCAAATTCTTCACGGACTTTATCAAATTTGGACAACCAAGACAAGGTTTGTTACAAGCTACAGGAAAAATTGTCAGAATTCAAAAAATCGTCATTATTTCACCAAGATTGGCTAATGGTGCATATGAAAGAACATTGCATCGTAATAAAATTAGGCACTTTTTAAGAAAATTAAATAATGACATGATGAGATTGAACTAGTTTTGATTTCGCACTAGAAATAAAAAGTCGTTTCACCTAGAATAAGTTCTATAGAAATTGTCGCGACGTGCCGCCATAGCTCAGTCGGTTAGAGCGTGGGTCTAATAAGCCCAAGGTCGCAGGTTCGACCCCTGCTGGCGGCAAATTGTTTTGGTTATGTTAGAGCGACACGTTACTTTGAGGTATCCAGTTCTGTCCTATTTTGCATGGAATCTTGGTATATGCTTGAATTTTGACATTTATTATTGACAGCCTTGATTGATTCCTAGAGGAGTCTAGAAATATTTTGTTTGAGTTCTTGCATAAAAATGAAGAAGACGAGTCAAGGGACGAATCAAAACAAATGCTGATAACAATAGTAATCTCCTTCAATATAAGCTTCGATAATACAGTAACTCAAATATTTTTGCATTTTTCCACCGCCAAAATTCAGGCATTCTAATAGATTTGACATTTCTTTGAAACTCGTTTGGGAGAATAGCTAAATTTCCGCTCATTCCTTTCCAAACGTGAAAGGGTACTTATTTGAATTTTGAAACCAATGTTTGCTTGAGTATCCTTACCATTTGTTGCCGGATATTGTAGAATTACTGTGCTTACACACAATCTCGTGCTTTCAGACTGGACACCTCTCCAGCCTCGTCTTGATAACTACATGCGTATAGATGTAAATCTCAAAGAGAACATAATGCCACATATGGATGTCCACTACGAAACTGAAGTCATAAAGTATTGGGAGAGCTTGATAGAGTATGATGAATTGATAACTCTGTCAAAAACGGAGGTAGGTCATTGTCTGACAACGATTTTTTGAATCAATATTTGCAATTTTCTCAGGTCAAAAGACCACATGCTGTTGTTGGAAATGTTCCTGAAACATCCTCCCATGGAAACGACACTTTCTTTTTATTTTATTTGCTACTACCTCTCTGTGCCGTGGTCATCGCTGCATTATTAGTACGATGTATGGTTTATCGCCGGAGAGCAGAAATCGATCCTGTTACGGTTCGGAGCGAAAAAACGCCCCTTCTCTCATAAGATTATAATTAGACTCTGCAATATTAGTGCTTTTATATGTATATTGTATATTAGTGTATTGTATCACTATATAATGTTTTATTAATAGTTTTTATTGGTTGTTTATATATCGTTGTCTCCACGAAGTTGCAAGTGGCCGCGTACGTTGCGTTTGCGTTGCGCCAACGCTGCGGGCCTATATACATTCCCTAGGATATATGTTATTTCAAACCATAGAATTTTTTTACATGATGAATTTTGCGAAATCTCTATTTGCTAGTTTTGCACGTTGTTCTAATTCACTTTATGATGTGCAATTGCACCATTTGCATTAAGGCACTTTGCCTGCACTATTTTTTGTAAATATCTTTGTACTCGTATATTTCCACTCTCTCATGGATATTTTAGCGTTTCTTCTAAAATTTTAAAAGAGTCAGAAGAAAATTTGCCCACTTTCTTGCTCATTAAAATTATTGTTTTTTCGTATATTATTGACTTTATTGATTCTTCACTTGTTTACATATCTGATCAAATCAATCAATAAAAATGGATAGAATAGTCTTGTGTGTTTGACCTTGGCTTCTCAGTAATGAGAATTTCATGCTGGTGCGACACTTGCACGACGTTCTTTCCTTGTTCTTCGACTCTTCTGTTGTCTCATCTTCAGCTTTTCCTGAAAATTTTATTTTTAAAAAAGGAAGGTGTCATTTATTCTAGTTAAGTATTAGGCTGAACGCATGCGAGCTGAATGCAACGCGGCTGCCGAGTACGGCGCCATGAGCGCGTGCATGGGTCATCATAACGCCCGTATTCGGCAGCCGTGTTGTAGGCACGCTCGCGTGCGTTCAGCCTACAGCGACCCGGACGATTTCGTGCAGTTGACTTTAACACCTGTATGGCCATGGCTTGTTTTTCACGTTGGATATAGTTTCGCTTGACAAACTCCTTCCGTGTAGTATCAAGTTCGTCCAATTTCTGTTTTACATCACCTGTAACGATTAGATCATTATTAATTTTGCAATCCGGTGACTTGTAAAATTTAAATCTCACCGAAAAGAGCATCTTTGCTTGGAATAGGTGCCAATTTGTTGAGAGGAAGCGATGCTTGCTCTTGAGGGCCATAGCTAAGGATTTCCTGGAGAATTTTTTATTTAACGTCCTCATAGCAAAATATTAAAGTTATCCGTGGTTAAGCTATGATGGGGGAAGATTTTATTCCTTTCCATTCTATAATGGGTCTGGAGAATTATTAGGTTGTTGCAAAAATAAGGTCCATTTTGCAAATTTTCACTTTGGAGGGCTATAACTTCGTTCAATCGTCATATTTTTGAATGCAGTCAGGACCATCAGAAACAGCAAACCTTTCGTAATTTAGCGCATGCCTGCTCATACTGATATCGCAGTTGGGAAGAAAACCACGCTCAAAAAACTAAAAGTTTTTCTCTCGAAAATCTCTTCTTTAAGAGCTTACAACTCCCTTCAAGTTTTGTTCATATGGCAATCAGCTTATTTTGTTGCAGCAGGCCAAGAGTTTATCAGGGTATAGAAAAGACTCCGGCGAAAGAGTTTTGCGAAAAGAAAAGACGAAATTCAAAAAAGTTCACTTTTTTAACTCACTTTCACTTAGCCTACTTGTTGTAGGCTTGTTAGTGTCAAATTGTAAAAATTTGAAATTCTAAGCGCACTGAATAGCTGAGTTTCTCTTGAAATATTGTAGTTGAGGTGTGCTAACCTCGAGTTTACAGAAATGGGCGAAGCTTTGGCGATTGCCTTAATTATGAGAAATTTCTGATCCATAGAATGCCAGCTGTGAGTATCTCTTTCGAGGCGTCCATTTCTCAGTCCAGATATCTCCAAAAATCCACATGAGCACGCAGTAGGTAAACAATCTTCATCCAATAGAAATGCTATGTTTTCAGAAGAATTCGTTAATTTGCGCCTGAATTGTGGCCACGGAAACTCAAGCATCGAAATCTCGATTTTGAGTGCAGCTATGCGAGATGCTGGTGAAATTCTCACAGATGAGGATAGCAGCCTATTTCCACCATCGTTCGAAAGTACATGAAGAGAGCTTTCCAATGATATGCAAATTCTATATCGAAAAGGAAAGTTTGATGGAAAAAAGCTGTTTGAAATATAGGCCTAGAAAAACGGACATTATTTTTGCAACAACTTAATACAAACAAAAGCGCTATATTGCATGCATGTTTTCACTCAATTCTTGAATTTATTCGTTTTCGGTGAGAACTTCCGGCTTCTCCTTCCCCTCTTTGTTCGAAAAATTGTCTTTAATGTGCTTTTTTTATTTATGAAAACAGATATAGAAAGTAGCAGGGTCAGAGAAATATGACAGAGTTGGGAAGAAAATTTCTAGTAAGGTCGTAGCTTTTATCTCCGAGATTCGAGATGGTTTTCAAAAGCTTTGCGGGCTTACAAATCCTTGGAAAATATTTTTCATAAAGCGAGTGAATATTTGATTTGAAAAATGTTTCAATTATTTGCGGGTAAGAGCAAGTCACTGCATAGATTTATAACTCACATATCATGAACCACTCAAAAACGGGGAAGTTTGTGAATTTTCTATTTTTGCGAGATATGTAATAGGCATGAAACTGACCGTGATCTTCTTATTTTTGACTTGCTTCATTCCTTTGATCGCTTCGTCTTCAAGCGACTTCAGCTCCTTCTCCAGTTCGTCATCAGAGATGGAATCATATTCAAATTCCATGTTGTGGCCAAGTTCCTTGGATACCTAGAAGCTTTCAATAAGTGCAGAAAGCCAAATGGCAGCAGAACTGCATTACCTTTTTCTTCATCAGAGCTAATCGTTCTTCTCGAAGGGCTTTCTGCTTCTTGATGACCTGAACTTCGTTTATCCTAGTTAAATTTATTTATTTATTCATCGTTAAAAAAACGGACCGCGTTATTCGCTTGATCCAAATCTTTGCGTATGGTGTCATTAATCACCTTGTCAAACCATTGTATGAGTCGTGCAACTTTTTGCTGTGTGTCTTGGAAGACTTTCAGAGCCTTAAAACTAAGGAATTTAGACCATAGAAAACAAAAAACCAAGAAAATTTTTAGGTTTATACCTTCTTCACAGCCGATTCGTCTTGTACGTTTTTGAACGCATTTGTAGCTGTGTCTTCCATCAGAAGTATTTCCTCTTCTGTCGCATAGGGGAATTCCACCTAAATAAGCTGATTATGGTGGATTAATTGTTTTATGTTTACCAAACCTTATTTAGATACATTCGGCAAGATTGTACATTTTGTGCTGCTGCGATGAAATTATTTCGAGCTTCAGCAGCTGCGAAGTACCTTGCTCGAGTATTGCTGTAAAACAAAAAATAATAAAAATGCTAATTCTAAAAATTGTTATACAGAATACATGCATCCCAAAATGAAACGTTATAACATGTGAAAGCTACAAGACATGGATGGAGTGGAGAAGCGAACTTGTGGGAGGAATGCGGAGAACAACCCTTCGTAGCATCGGTGGTTCAGTGGTAGAATGCTCGCCTGCCACGCGGGCGGCCCGGGTTCGATTCCCGGCCGATGCAGTCTTTTCGCATTGCACAGAAATGTTTGTGTACTCAACCTTTCTTCGATTTTCTTGATATCCTGCCATCGATTGATGCCAAAAGTGATCTGAGTGAGTGCATGGACCAATAACACTCTGCCATTTGCCCATTTAAACATTGCCAACGCTACTCGTTGCTGCCAATCCATCATCTCGTCCACCTAGACACAATATTTTAAAAAATGTTGTACTTGATGTAAATTAGGTAAACTTGTCGAGGTCTGAACTTGTACATAAATTTTTTTTCGTGTTCTTGCTGTTTATCTCAGTCAGAAATCTTGGAAATAGCTTTATTGGTCTTCCTCGAATTATGCATATTATACGATCATGTATTTTCAATCATCTCTGGTTTATTTTTCTTTATACATTCTGTCGGATTATTAATTGAAAAATTATTAGTTAAGTAGAAAGTTTACCTCGCCCTCAAGAATGTTCTCCTTTTCTGACGCATAGTCCGTCCCAAATATTCCAACTAAAGCAAATTTTTACAAAAAACTTCTAACTAGCTTTTTTGACTTACTAAGCATCTTGTCCTGCTTGTCATACAGCGCCAACAAATTGTCGGTTTGTTGTTTGTAAATTTCCATGATTTTCTGCGCCGTTTCGTACTTGACTTTCGAAAGCTCAAGCTCCTATAAATGCACAGTTTTAACCATTAAAGGATGATCTGTATTTAACCTTTTCCACAGCATCCTGTTTGTTCACAGCATCCTCATATTCAGTTTTTTCCTTCAAATGGCGAGATTCCCAATCACCCTGAAAAATCGTTTTTTCATTAATGAGAGGAAAAAATTGTCGATTAAACATCACATACTTGTTGTTTCAGAAAATCTTTGACTGAAGGTTGTTCGATGTTTTGCAGGTCAGATTTTTCACGTTCACTAGAAAAGTATCGATTTTTCCTTTGCAAAAAGTTGCAAAATTAAATGAAAAATTAAGCTGACTACTCCTCACGTTTGTTTTCTTAGCTCCTTCAGAACAGCTTCCAATTGCTCCACAGTATTTTTCAAGTTATCGGCATAGATCGTCTGTGATTCGTATTTTTTCAGCACATTTTTTCGCTCCAGCTTGTTTATGGCCTTTTCCAAGTTGATGTAGTCCTGGAAAATTCCTTGTTGATTGAATAGGATACTGCACGGTGATATGGACTCGAATTTACCTGCACAACCCCTTCAGTAAGTTCGATTTTTTCGATGTTGTCCGACTTTTTAGAATCCGTGCTACGACGGCTTTTTCTGTCTTCACCGTCGCTCTTGTTGGAACTTAGTTCATCATCGTTGGGTGAGGTGATTGGAGTGACTTTAGGGGTTTTCTTGGCTAAATAAGGGTTACGAATGCCTTAGGGGGAGGGGACTGGTGAAAAGTTGCTTACATTTGCCAAAAAATGACTTTTTCTCTTCGTCAGATTTGTCTCCTGTAGATTCTTTTGTCGATGTGTTGTCTGCTTTATCTGCCCATCGTTGGGTCTAAATTGTCTGAGAATCTTTTGCGTAGGCCGGGGAGGGGGGAGGGACCGACGGGAATTTTTTATAAGCGTGGCTTTAGTTACGTTCTGCTGGAAAGATGCTTTCCGAAATTTCTGACAATGCACGCAAAAGTTTTTTTTACAAAGTTAATTTTAATCAAGTTTAGTTGATTAGTTAATTTTAGTCAATTTTCTAAAAATTGTTTATTAGAGGTAAAACCAGACATTTGCGCAAAGTTGTAATTATCCCCCTCCCCCTCGGTCCGCCACTTCTCAGTAAGGAAAATAGGTAAAATATGTAAAAATTTGTTATAAAACTCTTACCTCTTTCGATTTCCCCCTTGACGCTCCAGAACCCATCTGACGGCGTTTTGATGGTGATTTCGATGCTTTTCGGTATTGTGAAATTGTGCCTAAATCTAAAAATAGTCAGTCAAATCTAAAATGAAAGAAGGAACTGGAAAAAACGTACCAGATATGAGACTAAGAGAATATGAAATGAAGCGTTGTCGAGCGCTTCGTCGTTTTTGTCTCGAAACAACCGCTCACCATGGCGACTTCTTAGAGATGAAACGATTCTTGGATGACTATTATTCTGTTGCTATGTACTTCTGTTATAAACAGTAGGGCAAATGGTCGAATTGCGTTGAAACTTGAGATTTTGCCTGCAATAAAAGATGTGATGGAAGTGGCTATTCAAGTTTTTGCGCATGAAAATGAAATGAGCTTTTTTGTATGGCAACGTTCTGTCGAAATTCCTAATAAAAAAGGTAATGTGATCCAACCAAATGGATCAGTCATATTTGATCAAAATTGTGTGGCGGAAAAATGCATCGTCCGACATCGAAATTCCGGCCTCTCGATACTCAGATTTTCTTATTTCTATGTAGGTGATCTTATCCAGAAAGCTTGACGATGTTATTGTGCCCTAGAAATTCAATAGAGTTTTTATTTCGTTCACTATAGTCAATATGTACGCAGCTATACTTTTTCCCTTGATTCATAAAAAACACATTTTGGAGCATTTGAAGGGTAGATCGTTTTGCTTTTGTCTTCGAAAAAAAGTTAAAATTTTCCTTTATACATATATGATTAATCACCCCAAAGAGCACGCTAATTTCTGCAATACACTTCAAAAAACCTTTTTGCTTCCATGCGTTTTTAAATTAGAGAAGCTAATTCTACACCTGTTAATGTGGCCGCGTGGCGCAATGGACAACGCGTCTGCCTACGGAGCAGAAGATTGCAGGTTCGAATCCTGCCGTGGTCGAGACGTTTTGCAATGCTGGAATTTCAGCAACTTCGGCTTACTTCGTTTTCCTCTCGTCTACTATATGCAAACAGAAGTCATTGATTCATAACAAACGTCGATTTTATTTCAGTGCTAGAACGGCGGTCAGAGTGGTAGTGAAAGTCTTAGGAAGGCTGTTATGGACCAAAGTAAGTTTTTTACAGCCCAAATCGCTGCTTTTCACTTCCCAAAAACAGCGTTATTTCAAAATCGAGCAAAATTAGCACAACAGTCGAATAAACTTCATTCTTTTTGTAAAATCATCGGTATCAATAGCATTGCAGATAATTTTAGTGCCTTTGCTTACTGAATTTCAGAGATTAGTTCTACAGGGAATGGGCAAGAAATCACAATCAACAAGGAAAATGTTCCGTCTTGGAAAACTTACTAATTAAGATATGATTTGTTTGGTCCAAGTGTTGAGAAGGCGCTTAACCTGATAATTACAAGTTTATCCTCTATGTTGAAAAAATGTATTTGTGTGTGTGTTTATCTTTACAAGAAAATATTCACTTCCATTGAGATTGTCCGTAATTCAGTTCTTCAAATCTCTCATAAATCCTCAGTGTCATAAGTAGCTCAATAAGTTTGGGGAAAAAAAGAAAGTGGTGTAGTCTCGCAAAATTGTTGTTCCTCTTTTGTCTTTGTATATTTCTGTCGCAGTTTTTTAGTCCTTATAGTTTTTATAGTTTGGTGTTTTGTGATGGTGTAATGCGAAGTCCCGAATTTCTTTGTGCTGTTAATTAATGTGAATTTTCTATCAAACTCACTTTAGAAAATTCATTAGTATAATTTGTTCAATCTAAATAAACAATTGTTCCATTTTTCCTGAAAGAAATTTCAAAGCAGGTTTGAAGAAGGTCCCCAGATTTTAATATAACCGCAACAGTAGTCTAACCTGGATTTATGCTAAGTTGGCGTTTCAACTGAATCTTCACAAATGTTCACAGTAATCTCTTCATTTTCCATATTGTGATAGGATAAAACAAATGTCTCTTTAAATATGTTATAGAAATGGATGTTTTGCCAAGCCCAGATTGGTACGGTGGAATCTTTATTGACCTGAAGTCAATAAAGATTCCATTCATTTCCGTTCAATAACTGAGGTCGATAAAGATTCCACCGTACCAATCTGGGCTTGGCAGAACATCCATTTCTATAACATATTACGAAATAAGATGCCCAATTCAGAGAAGAGAGAACCTGGAGTCTCTTTAAATATTTTGTAAAACTGAAGTATAGGTGTTGAGAACTGGATTGGATCCTCAATCTAGCTAGATTCATCGCACTCAAAGAAAATATTTAGCTAGGTATGAAGCAATGAGTTCCCGTACGGAAACTGTTCGTATGGCGTAGTGGATAAAGCGGTTGACTCACATGGGCTTGACAGAAAGTTCGGAACCGGATGTAGTCTAAGCAAGTTTTGCGGGAACAAAATAAACAAAGGTGGGTAAGGGTCATAGGACTCGACAGAGTGTGTGGACGCGTGGTCGAGTGGATGATGGCTCGGGCTGCCGAGCACGTGTTGGAGGTTCGGTTTCCGGTGCATGTGCACGTTGGTCCATATGATGGTCGGAATGGAGTGGGGTTTGGATTTGGTGCCGGTGCGTTGGGGGGGGGGGGTGTATCGCCTGACTTTGGTGGGATCCCTGGGCGTGTTTTGCGGTTTCTGCTGACGGGGTCTTTTTGTCGCCAGGGGGTGCGGGGTGCGCACTTTCCTTGGGGTGCTTGGGTCCTCCACTGCTTTGCCCTGCTCCGGTACCGCTCTTGGATCTCCTTTCCGATTGCCTTGGTCGCCCCTCTTGCTTTCCCGCCCCGGGTTCCTTCCCTCTCTCCTCCTCGGCTTGCCTGCTTCACCTGTGCTTGCTTCCCTCGCTTGCTCTGCCTTGTTCTCTCTGTGGTACACCCCACCTCGTCCTACTCGGATGCAGTTTTACCCAAGAGCCTTTATCTTTGCTTCGTATCCCTCGCTGTTTTGACTATGGCGTAAATTGTAAAGAAATTCGGCCCCTCAATTGAACAATCTGGTCCCCTGTATCGATAAAAATTCCTTGTACACCATACCTAGCATCTGATGGGTCTGAACTCGCCATCACTCGATTCGTAGTACATCGACTTACCTCTACACCATTGAAGACACTTGTTTTGGTGGAAATATCCTGCTCTTCAAACAGAATCAATCTCGTAACGTGATAAAGATTTTAGCTCAAATTTTCACAACTCCTTCTTCGGTTTAGTTACCCAAGTTTGAGGTACTCAATGGTGATTTTTGCAATAGAAAGACCGTTTCTCAGCAAACCTAATGCCGAGATCTAGAGTAGAACCCTTGACCTTCTGCTCAAAGGCCTGCATACTTGCTCCTGCGCCATTCATTGAGACTGTGTTGATGCTGATATTTCTCTACAAAGAACTATTTTCTGAAAAAAGAAACCGCTGATTTTCCTTCACGAGGATATTTTCCAAGCACGAACCACCTTCATTCTGAAGTATGTAAAGTGTTTAGGACTCGTGAATAGAATCTAAAAGAGTTGATTTCCTTTTGACTCAGGGACAATGCAAAGAATTTCAAAAATTTCTGACTATGTTCTTTTCTGAGGCTTGTCTTATATTTTCGCAAAGAGCTTTTCCATGCTGACTTTGGATGTATCTTCTCATAAGGAGAACAAGTACAAATCGAACTCAGTTATCTAGTACCAAGCACGTGTTTATCATTTTTAGTTGTTTTGTTTTGATTTAATTGTAGTTTATTTTTATTCGTTTAGCTACATTTTTTTGGATTTTTCTTGGTTTGATGACCACCGAAAAGTGATGCACTCCACATCCATGTACAAGAAATCTCTCCATTTCTTAGCTGGGAAATGAAGGATGTCTGCAACTATACTCTTAGCGCCGTTTCTTTTTCGAGAATACGCTTATTGCTTTACTTTTACAGTAGATCCATAGCTCGCAGTATTAGTCAAATGAACTCGTAGTCTCTCAGTAAGTTCAAGTCGATCCACTTTTGTGGTTGAAAAGGTATTCTTTTGTCGAATCGTAAAGGTCATCGGTAAACAATGTACCGAAAATAGGGCTTTATCAATCTAAGAAAATTCTGTACACTATGCGTAGCAGTCTGCCAGTTGGATTTGACGACATCCGACAAAATGCCAGACACGTGGCAATCGCGAGTATGCCCGCCGAGTATCTAACAATCTATTATAGTAGGATTCTCAAAAATTTCTTTCGTTTGTGATTAAAGGAATTGGATTAAATGTGCAGTATGATAATAGCTAGTCATTACCAGAGTCAAGCGTGGGGTGTGGCACGCCACACCTGGTGGTCGTATTGAGGAGTCAAAAAGGGAGGGGGTCGTAGTTGGGTATTCTGGTATTAGTTATGACATGATATTTGTGAGCAGTTTGTCAGGTAACCCCAGGCGAAAAAACACATGAAGTAGACTATCTTAGCATGCCAAAGACGTGCAACGAAGCTTAATGAGTATCATATCCATAATTAGCATGTCAATCAATTTCTATAGACAAAGTTTGAGCGAATTCTGAAGTTTTAAGATACTAAGCCACCTAAGTGAAATGGTCAAATTTCAACATAGTTAACTTTGTTTCAAAGGTGAATTAGCTATCCGTTTTTACACTAAAGAGAAGTACTACTCCTTCTTTGTCCATGCCAAAAATTCCGCTTTAAAAGACCTCCAAACTATGGATTTAGAAGCCAACCAAAATCTCGTTTTTCCCATTTTTCGGTTTTGTTGGCTGTGCTTTCACCGAGTATTACTCAGAGCTAAGAAGATGAATTAGGCTCAAATCACTCTTATGGAATCTACGAGATTTAAGCTACCGATTCATATAAATACTGTTCGCTAAAAATGTTGTTTTGATATAGTTAATGGGGTGTGGCACAACCCCCTCACTGGTTACGACCCCCTCCCCCCTGTGGCCTTTAGGGGAGGGGGGGGGGGGGGTGGAGGGCGTAACCAGTGATCGTGTGCCACACCTCTTGCTTGACCCTGGTCATTACTCATTCACGGAGAAAGGCTCGAAAAAAGGTAGAGGACGTTATGTAGCTGAAAGAT